ATGGCTGTGTACAGCAAAGCCAGCTTTTCACCCACCTGTTTAAACTTTTGCAGGCGCTCAACTTCTTTGTTTATCAAGTTCCGTTTGTTGACAAGCAAATAGCACTTTGGGCACAAGGTTTAGTGCATCTCACACTGATTTGGCATCATGGAGAGCACACCTTTTCAGGCAAAGAGCTCAAAGCGAAATTTAAAACCATTTCCCTCCACCCAAGCAAATACACCTTTTCGTTTTTCTCTCACAGCAACATCACATACGTGCGGCTGCCAATTTCTTTTCCACAGCACCAACAAATGCAACCTCAGCATTTCAAGGTTGACAGCAAGCACATTTACATTGGCAGCACTAAGGAAGGACTTCCTAAAAGAGAATGGAACAGGATTAGCAAATACAAACAAGTCACACAAGAGCAACTTGTGCATGTTGAGCCAGCGATCCGCTATTGGGCAAGAAACAACACTTTTTACCAACACACTGTTTTAGTACTTTCCGCACATGACACATACCAGCAAGCCTGGTGCTTTGAGCACCTCCTCATACAACGCTGGCAGCCACATCTGAACTACCCACATATTCTTCGCCACTTTCGACGAAAATCCAATAGTTTTGTTCGATTAGCAGTGCAGCACAGAAGCAGTGTACTCCATACCGGAGTACGACTCTGGAGAAAGCTTCGCAAACACACGTTTTGCTCAGTTGCAATGTTTCAACAGCACACCATGGAGAGACTTCAAGCCTGGGATCTTCTCTACAGGTTGGCAGAGAACTCCAAGAGATCCTTTGAAGCGTGCAGATACCTTCGCAGCGGGGCAGTTTTGGATGCGGAAATCTATGCCATCTACAGGCTCACAAACGTCATCGAACAACCCCAGAGAAGCAAACTCCAAGGCTTGTTCCACAAAGTCATGCAGTTTCGCACCATGACTCGTCCAAGATCCAGCCAGCCAATTAGGTTGCCATTCCTTGCCCACCCAGAATATCGGTCTCGGATGGCGGCTTGGTTACGAAAGTTTGTCCTGGAACACAAGGAGATTGCTGTTCCATTTCACCTTCCATCAGCCAAAGTACAAGAAGCTGCAAACCCATCGCTCAGCACTGCACTATGGAACTGGAGAAAAGCGGCTGAACATTGGACACCGCAGACAGATTTTCGGGACCTTTCATGCTCATGCGACAGCATGCTCAAAAAGCACCCGTTGCTGGAAACACTCGATGGGCACATTGCTTCAGGCATTGAACAATTGACATTCACCAGCACCAGACTACAAGCATTGTACCAATGGGCTAATGCGCAAGCAACTTTCTACCCACACACCAGCCAGGTATTGACCTGTTCAGCCCAGGCTCTTAAAAAATGGGCAGACAAACATGGGCTGCCCAGCCGACAACTTTTGAAACAATTTGAGCACTTCTTTGACTCCCAAATCTCCTCTCACAAGCAATTCCTGCGCAAAACGCCCAAATACACCGCTCACAACCTCCAGCAATTCAAAAAGCTCATTCCAAAGGACATGGTGGTTCACAACGAAGACCATGGGAATAGCCATCTCATGATCTACTGCCCCAAGATTTACCTTAAAGCTCTCCAAACCACATGGGATGATGCCGCACTTTTCCAGCCAATTCCCAACCAACCAGATGGGCCACAGTTCCAGTTGAACCAAGTGCCACAACAAATAAAAAGGCACTACAAGTGGGCATTCCCGGCATCGCTGCACAAGACCCGAGGAAAGCTTCAAAAGGACAGTGGGCACCAGCCAGTCAACAAACAGTACAAAATCCCAACAGGACAAGCGTTCCTGAAACGGAAGAAATCTTGGAAAAAGGGCCGTACAATTATTGGATACCACTGCAGTGTCCTCACCAAGCTGACGCACATCACTGCAGTAGCCCTAGCAGACATGCTGACCGAAGTGTGGCCTTCAACCTTGGGGACAACACCTACACCGGAACTATTCCAGAAGCTTCACAAGTTCTTCGATGAGACTTCCAGCGACATTGACCTCGTGATGTACAACGACGACTTGGTGGGCTTCTTCAACTCCATCCCTCAGGACAAAGTACTCTTCTTTGTTGACCACCTGATTAAGCACTACAAAGCAAAACACCCAGACATCCACACACTTTCAGTTAACACCCAAAGCAGTTGCAAACACAATCGCACCACCAGCGGCTCATTGTCCCAGCACCATCGGCACACACAGGTCAAATCTTTGCGCCTTGATGACATCCTTCCAATCGTCCAAACAACCTTTGACACCGCTGTCTTTTCCGCCCTTAACACAACTTGGCTCCAAGTTCAAGGGTCACCAATTGGCAGCAAAATTTCTCCAGCACTGTGCAGCATTTGCGTTGCAGGCCATGAGATGACATGGCGGCAAACTTACCACATTTGGAGGCAATCGTCAGGGTTGCACCTTCTCCTTATGCGGTATGTAGACAACAGGCTCACAATCGTTGACCAACAGCATTCTACAGATCACCCTTTGGCTGTTTGGCTCCACAAGTGGTTTTATGGCAGGCCTATCGAAGTTGAAGAAGTTGAGGACATCAATTTTTTAGGTTTTGACATTTACCCACACAAACGGCAAGTCAAATTTATTGATGTTGACAAGCCGTGGAAAGTCAGGAGTCCAGCCAATGCAGGAACAAACAACCTCACACTTTCAGGATTTCGCAGCAGAGCACACTTGATTGTCAACTATTCTTTTCCAAAGGAATTGATTCCAGGAAGTTTGAGCGCCCTTCTTGATTTGTATCACAAAGCTGGCTTTTCATTTTCCATTTTGCAAGACACTTTGCCAAAAACGGCATACCGGCATCTCCAAAGAAAAAAGCCGCTGCCCGTCATAGCTACGGGCGTGTGTGTGCGCGGAACCCTGTTAACAAAGGGAATGCATGTCCTGTTCTTACCTTTCCTTGTTCCCTCTTTCACCTCTGGTTTCATGTCATCATCATCGATTTCGCGCAAAGAAACAAAGAGAGACAAGAGAAGCAGTCGGTGCCCACTCTGCTGGGCTTGGGCATCCTGATGAGGAAACCCAGCAGAGCATCCGAAACTGCAAAGAGACAGAGACAGATTTCTTTCATTTTCATCCCTGCGTCAGTTTAACTGGCCAGCGCGACAAAACTCCGGCTATGCATAAAGAACTCCAAAAGATCTGCGATTGGATCAGGATGTTCGCATAAGACTGGGGGCCGCTCAGCGGTAACACTACAAGTGTGTGTACTTGTATGTTGCCACAGCCTGGGCCCACCGGAGTGAGTGGCTGGAGGCAACGTTCGGGCGCCATAGGCGCTGGAGACGTAGCCAAAGGCCAGGTCATGATCAGTGTGAGCAACTGATCCACCAACATGCTGTACTAGGTACAGTGCACAGGCATCGCCAAACCATACTTCCGCCAAAGCAGAAGTTGCCTCTCATCAAGGCGTGGGTACATTAACTGATGGTCTAGCACCATCTGCACTCAATTCGGTGACGGGCCCTCACCCATCACGCATTGAAGTGAACCAGTGGTAGCCAGTGAAAGAAGTGCTCAACCGAGGCAAAGAGGCAGCCGCGGTAGACGGCCTGAAGAAGAGCAGCCGTCAAGTGCACGCAGCGTGCCATGCCATGGAAGCGCCTCATCATCCAATAGCAAGAACCGAGCTCACCTGCCTCACACAAGCTGGGCCAAGCGCTCAGCTCCACAAAACTCCCGCCGTATGGCGGGTTGCGACTGCCACGTCTGCAGCAGCCGCCAACCAAAACTGTAGCAGCCCTCGTCTGCAATATCCTGGATCACATCATCTTTGGCGAGGCGCCAAAGTAATCACCACAGGCCTGGAGGTTCCAGGTTCGCGCTGAGCGCCATGACATAGTCGGGGGGGTGGCTAAAGCACCCCCCGACCAGGGAGGTATTTATCATCCGGAGTCGTGCAACCGGATATCGGGTTAATTCCCGCGCAGCGGCCAGACCTGCCAAAGTTGAACCAAAGGTCACCGAAGGTCACTATGGTTCTGGGCCATGGCACCCTGTTACCCCATCACCATCAAAAATAATCAAAAATCGACAATCTTAGATGGAAATGATCCCAACATGGTACCACCATGCACCACCGATGACCACAGCCATGTGGATGAAACAAATGGTTGCAGTGCGGTTGAGAGCACCACTTCCGCCCCCCTCACAGTCTTCCGGATTGGATTCTGACGACCACACCTGCTCATCGATGATCATGGCGGTGCCTTTGCACCTTGGGCTTTGCAGAGCCTTGTAGAAAGAAGACTCCTGCGAAATCGAGCACATAGGCTTGTTGTGGGCGCGCAAAAATGCGTGATTTAGAGCTCACATGCAGGCCTTCTCATATGAAAAACCCCACATGGATTTTTAGTGCGTTTCAGGGCAAGCTCACTTGTCCAAATGGAGTACAACTCAATTTATTCAGTCATATGCCAATAATTTCATGGGCCATGTCCCATATCTCCCCAATTCCGAAGTGTTTCCCAAGCAACAAATCACAAGAAGCAACGTTTTTCAAGAAATTACAGAGGCGCTGCAGTGACTCTGAGCACGACTCCTTCCCTCCCACATAGACTTCATGATGCCATCCTGGACGGAAGGATCCGTGGACAGTTCCGTGCGCCACGCCATAGGACCCCTTGTGGGAACACACCGTTGGGTGCCGCTTCACTAACTGACACAATTGATTCTGGAACAAACTCTTTCTGAACATGTACCTGAATCGGATGCACCGGCAGCTCTATCTGATAGGATTCAAACAAATTCAATTTGGTGCACCTGATGCTGGTTGGATCCTCTTGCTTTGTTTGCCAAGTTGTTCTTGAATGCCGCAAGAACTGCTGCAAGAACTTTGACCGTGGAAACGGCTCTGTAACTTCCATCGGGCAATCTGTGAAATCATGACTTGATGATCTTGATGTGCGAACTGAACCGGTCTGTTCTTTGGCGTATCACCTTATGTGGTCCGCTGTCCAGTGCAGGTCGGCTTCCGCTACATTTTACGCCCCTCGTGGGAGAATCACTCGCTTCACTCGCTGCATCCCGTGTCGAATTTTCACATCGGTCGACTCGAAAGCATTGGACCCTCAGCAATTTTTTGCCACGTGAACAGCCTGGACCAAGGTCTTGATTTCTCGGCTTTTTGTTGCCTGAACGGGTTGAGTGGATTTGCTGCAACGGTTTCGGTTCAGCAAAGCTCCAGACTGAAAGGATAAGCCGGATAAGCCCTCAACAATCCTCAACAGCTTGTGGTGGGTGTTTTGATGCTCATAACGAGGTGACTTCAGATACGGTCGACGAATGTCGACGATCTCCGCACGGTAAACCCCGAGTCAACGCCCAAATTCAATTACCTTGTGGCGTGCTGATTCAATGCTTTTCTTCAAACCAAAGACACTACGAGAATGTCTTTGAACGCCCTTTTCAGGTATCTGATTTCTCTGCCGAACATATAATCAAACTGTGTATTGCGTTCACGGATGTTCACGACAGGCCTGGCAGCAACTGCCTGGCAGCTGGCCTGACTTGGGGATAGCTATTGGATTTTGATCTTTGGACATGTTTGATGTATCGGATCATGTTTGGACATGTTTTGCAAGACTCTTTACGTCTCGTTTCATCCTTGTTCCTGCCTTTCAGAGCTCTGCAAGGCCAAGTGGGCCAAGTGTGCAAATGGCGCAGCCTTGCTCAGCTCAGGCCAACTTAAGATCCTCGGCAACCCCATCAACATCCATCAAGTATCAAGCCAAGGCCCCCTAATATCCCTAATAACTTGAGCAAAGTTGAGCAAAGTCAAAATGTGCGTTCGAGAATGAAGACATGATACATGGGCACTGAAGAGTGCCCTGCTCAGGATCACAGGATCTCTTTGAGCTTGCAGAGCCAGCTGCACCAGACTGCACCAGACTGCATGATGATGCAACATGATACAGCGAGACCTTTTCTATGCACGGATTCAATCTCTTGATTTGACTGTCTTTGAATTTATCAACCCTTTTCCGAGCTCGCCTGTGTGATCAAGTACTTCACAAAGCGCCACAAGACATGCGGCAAGATGCGGCAAGATGCGGCAAGATGCAGCAAGATGCGGCAAGTTGCAGGACTCTTAGGGACCTCGAGACCTGCAAAGCTACAGGGCATGTGACAGTGCGGGTAGTATTTTTCAGGCTGCATCTGATGATTTCTGCAAATGCTGCGCTTGCAAACCGAACACCCTGCAAACAAAGGCATTTTCTGCCGTTTGCTAAGATCAAACAAAGTAGGAAGGAAGCAACCATCATCTCATCTTCGGGCTCTAGCAGACTCTAGCACACATCACAGAACTTAGCCTTGATGACCTGGTGAATGAAGTCAAATCTCATTGCGTTTCACGAGACTACATGAGCAGAAATCCGACAGGTTTTGCCCATGAAAGGACCGCCGAAGCGAAAAAAACTGGATTCTTGGGAACGGAAGCTGAAAACTTACTATCTACAACAGTTGCAATTGAACGAGATACTTGAAGAGACGCAATTACAAGCAGTTACTGCCCCCAGCCTGTGAACTTCAAAGGGTAAAAAAAAACAAAACTGTACCGAGTTGATCGGTTTCGTTGTGTTTTTTGCATGTTTTGGATTGCTGGATTTCTGTCCCCCGGTCGCCATCTGTCGCCTGTGCTGTATCGCCCTGGCCGGGCCGTGCAGCTTCGGCGTGGTCCCCCGCGCACCTCACAGGGACGGGTATGACATGGTGCGACCGTCCAGTTGTCACAACATGTCACAACAATCAGCAAGCTAATCATGCTACAGCTACAGCTGGTATCTTATATATTAAACTATTATATTAATATCTGGCATCGGATCATCATATTGCTTCAGTTGGAACAGTTGTATCATGTTGTATCATGTTGTCACAGCTCGCTGACAGGCCTGGCCCACCTACGCTCACCTTCACCCCCTCATTCAGATCTCTGCAGACCTGCAACTGAGGATCACAACTGGCCACTGTTGACCAATGTCGAACAATGTCGAACAATGTTGGCAATCCATGGCAATCCCAAACAATGTCCCAAGAGAAGGGCGAAAGCCTAAGCAATCTGACCTGCAGCTATGATGATGTCTTGACAATTCTTGACATGTCTCAAACCTGGTCCCATGGGCTTTGATGGGCTTTGATGGGCTTTGCAAGACTATCCCACCTGTATATACCCGTATAACACTGTCAGTTTGAGGGTGACCAATCCAGAGCAGTTCCAACTGCGACATCCGACATCGAGACCGGGCCTGGACAGAAGTTCCACGACTTGTCCAAGGCCTTCCATGATCTCATCAGCTTTCAGGGCTTCGGCTTTCACTTTTGCGCCTTCAACCTGGACCATCTGGACCCGGACTGGACCCGTACCGAACCATCTTTCAGAGATGCAGAAAATTGCAGAAATCCATGGCAAGTGATGCATATCTTGGCTCCAGCAGAAACAGTACATTCAGCACATTTCAATTCTGCCTGGTGGTTGATGACTGCGATGCTGTCAATCCTCTTGGGCAAGAAAGATCCCTGATGGCGAGGGCTAAGAATCAAGGTACACCAAGGAGCTAGCACGGACTGCCGAGGTTCTGCTTCCGTGAGGCATGCGGCATGCTTATATGAATTATATGTAATTCTGTTGCTGGCTGCTGTTGGTTAGATGATTTAGATGCAACATGAATCAACATGATCCTTTGTTGTGCTACATGCTACGACATTGTAGGCTTCTTGGAGCACAGAAGATGACCCCATCTGACGGCCGCGCCTGGCAAATGTTTGTCGGGTAAGAGACCGGCACAAAGTGCATGTCTTCGAGTCCCCGGTCCATCAGAAGAGGATACACTGCCTGCGATCAGTTCGGAAGAAATTGATGTTGACATGGATTTGCGGAAAGGAAGGATATGGAAGGATACCGGATACCAATCTTAAATAGCCTATACCTGTCGATCACATATGGCTTTAATGATCTTTATATTTGGCTTTGTCGTGTCAGCTTGCAGAATGCTTGCAGAATGCTTGCAGAATGCTTGCAGAATGCTTGCAGAATGCTTGCAGAATCATCAATGAACTGTCGTTATAAGTTATAAAGTGTTAATCACTGATAACTGATGATCTTCATGATGCCTTCTCGGGGAAGTTCAGATCTCCCAGCAGCACAGTCGGGAGCTGCTTGCCCTTGACCATGTTTGCCAGGCAATCGGCAAATTCTCTTCGAGCAGGTCCGAAGGGAGCTCCGGGCACGTGCCTCAGACATTTCGGATCAAAGTCGCTTATGTTCGCTGATAAGCATTTGATATAGTACTTGATCTTGATATAGTATCTGATATTAGATATATTAGTATTTGAATGTATTTGATGTATAGGATTTGGTGGTATTTGATATTATTTGATACGTTATTTGATGCAATATTCGGGATGATGACAATTGGTATCGATTGATGTATCGCCAAAGGACGCTGTTACCACGCGCAGAGTCGTCTCACCCATCACTTGGAGCAGTAACTCTGTGACCACCTGCGACAAATCACACACGTGGACTGCATGGATTTACACTGTGTACTGCGAAAATATCAACATCGTCAACATTCACTAACAACACCTAAAACATGGTACATCATGGTACCTGAAAGTACGAGGATGCTGGAGGTGGGATGCAGTGGGGCCTTCTTGGGGTTCTCTATGTGAGCAGCATGAAGGACGACATCCAGCTTTTTCAGAAGCTTGCTATCGTAGACAATGACCTGTGCCAGTCAATCTTCAAAATCAAGCGGCGGAGCCACTGCAGAAAACACTGAAATGTTTGAAGTGATACTGATGTTGGCGGGTAATAGCGGCTAATGGTGGTTAATGGTGGTTATTATGATTGGTGACGGTCAATGTATAGTTAGCGTGCTAATTAGTACATCTTTGTTTCGTGTCCTAAAGCCTTAGCTTTTTTTTGGTCGTCGCTCTCCGCGGAAAATGCGATGCTTCCAACCCCATCGAACACGGCAGGGGCCTACATGGACCAGTCATGGACCTACCATGAATTATACCTCGTTCAAGGTAATTAATAGTGACATAATAATGGATGTATATATAATATGTATATAGTATGTATATAATATGTATATATGCTGTATATATGCATCTGAGATTTCATTTTTTCTGATCATCGACTCTCAATGAGATGCCTCCTGGTTCTTGTCCTGCTCTTGCCCACTGCACTCCATCTCATGGTGACCATGGTGACCCAAAGCTCCCTTGAGCTGCTCAAGCAACTCGGGCCAGCATTCTTGCAAACACAAAATGTGAAACTCCTTTTGCAGCATCTCCTGTATCTTTTCGATGATCTTGTTCTCTCTGGTTCCAGCCTCATGGTAGGTCGAAATCTCTGAGCCTTTTAGTCCTTGAGTGTCCTGTTCAATGTATTTGTAGTAGTTGCGATTCAGCACGTTCCATGAAGCAACCTTGATGGAGTGCTTTCCCAGCGTGAGCACAGCTGCAATTGGAGGATGGTCCGAGGGAAACTTCCAGAGCTCTCCGAGGCGTTTGGCCATGGGAAACTTCAGGGAGCCCAGCTTGCTGATGAGGACGGTCTCAACGGAACTTTCCAACAACAACTGGGCTTTCTGAAGACCTGCAGCTGTTGCAGCTGTTGCAGCTGTTGCGATTTCTTTCTCGGACTCCGGCTGTTTCTCGAAGAATTTCTCGATGTACTTCATGGCTTCGGCAATTCTGTGGCACCCATCCTCTGCAGCTTGCTGTTCTGACTTTTCGGACTCCTCGACCTTCTCAAGTGTAGACTGCAAGTGGCTTAAGCGCTGACCTCACCACAGAAAGGATGCAGTTTACAACATTCTGAAGTGTTGCTTCGTAGATGTTCGGAGAAAAACAAAAAGTAACAAAAAGCAACACAGAAACCAAAATCAATCGCAGTTGACTAATTTATCATATATTCATCTCATTACTCATTTGTCAGTAAAATGAATGCCGCTGTGGGGCGAAGTGTGGAAAGATCCAGCCCTGGATCCTTTGGATACTCCGGATCCTTCGCATCGCTTCCAGACTTCATCGTGGTCATCGTGGTTGTGGTCATCCCGAGGTCTGCAGCTATCTGACTAAGCTCAGCGACCCCATCTTTCAGCGGTTTCAGGGCCTCCAGTATCTTCAGGTGCTCCGAATCCACATCTGCCAAGTAAGAGCTTCTCTCACATAGAGCCTCCACATACTTCATCGCATTGGGTTCCTCACCGGAATATTTCTGTAGCTTCTTCTCGATTTCCAGCAGTCCTTTTTCTTCGGCCTGCACAAATGTCTGACTTTGAACATCTTTGAAAATATCAAATAAGTCTATGCGGGAGGGGACTAATATGGGCTAATATTCTAATTGGCTTAGCGCACTCTGTTGAATTCTGCCAAACCTACTCTGATAAAAAACAAGCCAATGTCAAATGTGCCACATTGTGCCACCATACAGCTGGGGTACCCATGTGGGCCGTCCCGGCATGACATCGCGGGCCTCCGCCATGAGTGAAGACTGGTGAAGACGCGGAGACCTGACAGACTTTGGCAGCTCTGCAAGTGGCCAAAAGGCGTCTACTTCGCTGTCTTCCTCTCTGATCTCTCTGGTTCACTGGGGCAGCCATGTTGTATTCCACATATTTCCACTAATATACGATCATTACATCATGAAGATTCACACAGCAAGGCAGCAAGGCTGACATACAGGATATGAACGTATCACCTACATCGCACCTCGGAGATCCTGGGAGCCTTGACCGATGGACGCTTGAGCCAAGGCAGCCAAGGCAGCCAAAGTTCCCGGGAAAAGGATGGGAAAAACGGCAATGCAAACGATGAGAAAATTGCAGAGGCAAAGAGTTCATGATGCTTTGGATGTGGTTCAACTTCCATTGGAGAGAGCGTGTACGGGACAGAATTGTGCGCATGGAGAGAACCTTGCACAAAACTTTACTATACCGACTATACCTATTCTTACCTGTCCCTACCTTTCCTTTGGGATTATCACAGTATGAAATGAAATTTGGCTAATCTAAATCTGGTGTATGACTTGTATGAACATCTTCCAATCATTGTCAATTCCGAAAAAATCTGCATCTTTGTTGCAACAAATCTGGATTCAATGCATCTCTCACATCCCGTGAAATGTGCGGCTTTTTTTGTGCACCCTAAACCGATCTCGGTGAAGCTTTGAGAGGAGCCTCTGTGAAACTGCGGTCATGAGATATCAACGACCTTGGCTGTGGCTTTACAGCGATCTTCACCAGTCGACGATTTTTGAGGCCCGTGCCGGTGCCACTTCGTGCCTACAGGCATCACTCTGCACTAATATCACTATTGTTGCGCGTTCACATGATGACTTGACACACCCTTTTTGGGTCTGTTTGCCCCATGCCCCAACCAAATGTTGGAAAGACACATTCTTGAAATATCTTGATTTATGTCTGATTTTTTCATGGCTCAAAAATGTCACAATGGCTTTGTTTCTTTGTTTTTCTCAATGTTTCACACATGTTTCACACATGTTTCACCTGCGCCAAGTGCGTGGGAGGTACGTCCGCCTCCACGACCTCGGTGAATCGTCTGTGGGGATCCATCGATCCATCCGTGGTGATCCTATGGAGATCTAGGTGGCCAACTCCAGCGAGGGCAGTACTGGGTGGCAAGGAATTTTCCAACGCCTCTGGAAACGTCCGAAAACATCAGTTGAAACATGCTTCAAACATGCTTCAAACTCTAGAAATATGATGAAATATGCTCAAATACTATGTTTCAACCACATTCTACATGTCCCTGTTGTGCTGAAAATGTGCAAGCACAAAAATGAAAGAACCAATTCACTTGTTGTTAACAGCGTCGGGGCTGAATTAATGATCGTGGCATCCATGAATCTTGCCTGTAGCGCTTGCACCTGCAGCTCAACCAAGCTCTCAAAACTCATCCCCAAACTGCCAATCGCATTAGCCGCATGTAAACGATGTAATTGGAAAGCAATGCAAAAGGCTTGTATCACGAAGCATTACGAACTATTACGAAGCTTTTGTGAATCACATTGGTGGCCACGGAAATCCCAAAACACTGTGCCATGTAACTGCTAGAGGGCCGCTAGGGCACTGGCAGTGCGTTGTAGAAGCTGAGTCGTTGCCACGGGACTGAGCAGCAATCACCAAGCAGGCGAGTCTCAAGGTGGTTTGGCTGGTTTGCTTCGAGTTTCTTTGTGAATTCTGTGATTGTCAAGATTCTTAAGATTCTTGAGCTTCTCTCCTCTTGACATTCCTGACTTGTTCTGTTTCATAGCTTCTCTCGGTGGTATTCTGTCTCTTGATGTCTCTTGTATACTGTATGCTTATGGACGCCTTTTCTGTATGTTCCAGAGTCGTTGCAGAGCGATCGGGACTGGATCCAAAGCTTCGCAAAAATTTTGCAAAGCACAATTCTCATCCACATTCCAATATGACTGGTTGAACTGGTTGTTTTTTGTTAATATTTTATTTTCAGTAGCTCAACAAAAGATCCACGTTTCCGTTTGCTCAGAGCCAAACTCCAACTCACCCTGGCAGCGCTCTCAGAGCTTCATCTTGATGCTTTCAATATCTTTCGGAAATGAACATGAGTCATGCCAGTCATGTTCATTTCATGTTCATTTCATATTCATTTCATGTTCATTTCAGATTTTACAGAGCTTCAAAAAACAACATGCTGATCCTGCTGGCAACGGCTCGGATCGGATGGATCGGATGGATCGGATGGTGCCTCTGGAACGGCTGCGTCAGCTGCAGCTGCGGCCTCTGCTCGGGCCTGCTACAGACTCAGGATCACTGAGGATGACTCAGGATGACTCAGGATCAACCTTGACATGTCTTGACATGTCTTGACATTCTTCATATTTCTTCATATATTTCTTCATATTTCTTCATTCTCCATTTCGGAAGAGTTGACGAGGCCTGCTGTCCTGCCTCTGTGTTGGCCCAAAGTTCCTGTGTCACAGAACTCTTCACAGACAGCTGAAGGCTTATGAAGGCTTATGAAGGCTTATGAAGGCTTATGAAGGCTTATGAAGGCTTCGTAGGTCTGCCTCTTGTGCGACTCCGGGGCTCTTCTCCACATCTCTCTCATCTCTCTCATCTTTTGCATCCTGCGAAGAAAAATGCCTTTGCCATGTGCAAAATGATGCAAGTGATGCAGCGAAGTGTAAATCCATTCACATTCCATTCTGCAAAGTTGATGAAATTGGCACATTTTCATCAGTTCGAGTAATTTTGTCAGCTCCTGTGGCTCTTCCTGTCGTGCTGTTGCCTCATGCAGTGACATCCGTGACACAAGCAGAGCTTCGTCCAGCAAGTTGGCACCTCCTGCGGTCGCTCCGACTTCCACGGCAAAACCACAGGGACCTGCATCCAAAATCATCCAAAACCGATATGAACATGTCCTATGCTGTCATATATATATATATGATATGTCATGGAATGTCATCCTTACCCCAAGATGTCAGTGTTTACAGCAAATCCAAATTAAATCATGTGGGATCCCGGCATCCGGTGAAGCCAGCAATAGGCGAATCAGAGCTGGTAACTGAAGAACCAACCTGGGCCGACTTAAAAAATTCGCCGTGGCAAAATCACCATGCTATTAGTAGGTAAACCATCTATAAATGGGCCATCTATACCATGGCTATGTTAGTCATAACCAGAGGGTATATGGCAAACGACGATCGAATGAATCGAATATAGTCGAATGAGACAAGTCTTCTCTTCCTCGTCTTCACAAATGGCTGCCGCTACATCTCCTCACACCACACACCTCTGCATGATGCAATCTCAACTTCTCTTTTGGCAGAATCCCTCATCCTCCTAGATCCTTGAAAATCACCAAGCCATCTCTGATTTCCTATATATTACATACTATATTCCTATATATAATAATATATATTGAGATATATATATTGTACGTATTATATATATACGTATATATTATATGATATATGTGTGACTGTAAATACTTGTCTCTATGGCCAGTCTCTCGACATCCCAAGATTCTGTCCAGTCCTGAGGATCCAACCAAAGTAATCGACCCGATGTGCAAAAAAAACTGCCCACCTTTGTAGGATTCTGACCGCATCAAAATGTCTCACTGAGGTATATTAAGGTATATTAAATTTCATTAAACATAGTATATATTAAATATATATATATAAATATAGTATATTACTCATATTACGATGTTTTCTTCGTGCTTTCTTCATCTGTCAACTTCCCCACCTTGTCTCCATAATGTGCCCAAGGCCTCAAGTTGAGCAACGTTTTTCTGGTTTCATGGCTGAAGCTGACGTTCATTTTGTCCCTATGGGCAGCATGCAACATGGTTGCTGAGATTCAGGCACAAGCTCAAAGGCAACGTCTTCCAAATATGCCTGGCCAATGGATCTTCTAAAACTCTCCATGCAAGTGGATCCAGTGAGGCCCAATGGTTTCGATGTTTCAACTTCTTTTCCGATCGGCTAGTTGCTTTCACATTCGCACACTCTGGCCGTTGAAGAACTTGAAAACTATGTTGAACACACCTAGACATAGAGGACACAAAGATTTGGAAACAGATATCAATGATAGTCAAAGAGTATCAATATATGGGTTGCAGCCGCACCTCAGGGCTCAAAGCCAGACTGAAGATCAACACGACACCAGATGCAACGAGTAGGGCAGCAGGCACGGCCATCTCAGGCAGGCAAGGGATAGGCAAGGGTAAGCGTGTCTGGCAGATTCTGGCAAATGGTCAAACAACATCTTACTATATCTTACTGCTTGAAATATCTGTTACTTTACTAACTACTATCATCATCTATCATCATTTATCATCATTTATCATCATCTATCAATTTTGTCGTTCCATAGAACTGTTGGTTTTTCTGAGCCGCGCTCCGCGAAGGCTTCAGTGGCACTCCGTCGCTGGAGCCCGGCAGCCGCACCGAAGAGGCCCAAGGCCAAGGCCGACAGCGCCACCAGAATCGGAGGCACCGGGAGCAGCTCATGGAGGATCACCTGGCGAAGAATCTCCTGGAAGCTGTTGGAAACTGTTGAAATCTATTGGATGTTTGTGGTAGATTAGATCAGCTCACAATATGAAGAGAAATACTGATGTGCTCAGAACTTCCTGAGGTGACTCTTCGGCCAGGGCACGAAACAATACGAAGTGATTTGTAACTTCTCAGTCAAAACAGGCTGGATCTGCCAAGAGCAAATCGCCAAAGAGCACAGCCAACCTGAAAGCTTCGCTTGCTACCCAAATGGATCGGGATATTCTTCCGCAAGGAAAATCCAACGCCATCCAACACCAAATATATTGCCATCATCCTGGAAGCAAAATCAGTTCATCCCACAATTGATCAGGTCTCAGCGTCGCACCCTGCTCCAAGCAGCAGCCGCAGGCCATCCGCCCTTGCTATATCACAAAGCAATCCACAGCCACCGCCAGGTTCTTTCTGAGAGGCTGACTTTGCGTACAACACATGAAAAGTCAGTTCAGCAGTAGGAATCTGGGTAGATCTGGGTAGTTTCACATAGGTGTCTTGGTTGGACATTTGGCCAAATCTGTCTATACTCAGGTTGATGCCCTTGCCATAGAAATGCCACAGCGATCACCATGGTCAGAAGCCCTGCGAGTGCAACAAGCTGCAAGACAATCGATAGAAACTGATAGCAACTTGACCGTCCCGAATCGCTTAAAGGATTATTTTGAAGCTATGAAGTCCCCTAAGATTCGTTTTTCGTTCAGGAGACAACTTGAATACATCCTCACTGAAGTTACTCTGAGTCTTGATGCGGATGTTCCTGCAAGTATCACCAGCAGAGCCGGAGGAGAGCCGACCAAACGGAGGAAGTCCTGCACAACGCACGCTGCAACTTGCTGCAGCTTGATGGCTAGATGGATCACCTCATGTTCTATACGCACTACGCTTACCGTATATTCTGTCAGACCTCTAATTTTTCACAAGTGATTAACGCCTTTGGTGCCTTCTTGCAAGCATGTTTTCATCTGGATATTCGCCTTGAAAGCTCCAGCCACCAACACCGGCACAATGACCAGGGTCGCAAACGCGAAACCAATCGCCTCACGTACCAATCGTCTGGGTACCAAGGGGGACAATTGGGAATGATACTGTGATATACTGTGAATGGAAAATCATGGAAATGGATATTGAATGGATATTGAATGGACAGTGGTTCGGATTAGTTCTACAACCACCCACTCCATCCAAGACCAATGCCAGAGAAATCCTATGAGATTTTCATGTCTATCTTGCGGTTCTTAACATTTGAGGCTGTTTCGTCAATTTCCCGTCGTTCCAGATCCTATACCGCCTATACCATCCTATACCTTTAGATTCTGTCCAGTCTTGGCAGGATACCCCAATTCAGCACGTTCTCAATAGCATCGTTCATCCATAATCCTCCATCCAATGACTCTTCAGGGATTCCCACAATGGGTCATCAGAGGCAGTGCTGGAAAGAAAAAAAAAGCTGGGAAAGCTGGACTCATTTAGACTCTTGAAACATCTTGAAACTGGCTCATCGAAATGGAAGCGAAATGGAAGCGAAATGGAACTGATCTGCAACCTTAGTTGTAACATATTGTACCATCTGGTTATTTAACATAGCCATGGAAAATCACCATTTTTAACAAGTAAACCATCTATAAATGGGCCATCTATACCATGGCTATGTTAAATAACCAGAGGGTAACCAACATACGATATATGGCATATTAATGGCATATATATGGCATCCATGGTTCGGCCTGGCCGTCAGCAGGCGAGAGGAGAAGCAGCAAGCCCAGCAAGATGCTGCCGCAGGCCACGAAAAACCTACGCAGTTTTTAGGACGACCAGTGCATCAGAAATGTTGAGGAAATATGATATGAAAGGATTCTATATGATATGAAAATTATGAAAGGATTCTAAATGAATTCTAAATGGTTTGAGGCAGTTTGAGGCTGTGAAAATCATGAGGATATACAAAAATCGGTGATGTCTTTCAGATCTTTCAGGTGATAGATGTGATGGTTAGAGAAACTGGATCAAGGTGGCTTCATGCAGCAGTTGCTGCAGTCTCAACCCTCTCTGCCTGTTGAACATGTGTAGACAAGCCATCCACTGCTGCACTTGCAGTGAAATCAATCCAGCCTGATTGCACCACAAAGCACGAGGCAGTTTTCTATCATTGTCACTTTCCAAGTTCACATCTTCTTCATTTCTCTGTGCTTCAGAGTGCTTAACATCCTGTTTTCGTTCGTTTCTCTGCACATTTTGGGCTTCCCTGCCGTGCATGAGGCAAAGTCAGCCAGGCAGCGCTCCTCTCACCAGTTCCACTGTTGTTCACCGATGTCCACCGTAGGGTCATCAGCAGATGTCAGCAGTCAACGGTCATCATTTCCAAAGCGCCTGCGCTGGCATTGTCGACATCGCCTTGGTTCCGCAGTGAATTCCGTGTGAAACCCCAGTGATATGCAAGAAAAAGCGTCCAATGAAGATTAAATTTCACTTCCCAGCTTTGAAGTCCAAAAATCCAGAGAAGTGATGCCACATGGCACTAAAACAATGGATCTCAGTTGTGTCTCTACTATTCTCTGCACAAAAGTCCTTTCTAAACTGCTGTATCTTCATTTGGAGGTTTCCTAAAATATCTAAAATGGCGGATCCCCCGAATCATCCATTTGAGGATTTTCCATGTCATGGAAACCCCCAGAAACCATCCAGCGATAAAGGGGTACCCCCTCTGGAACCCCCCCAGAAATAGCTTCACACTTCTCCTCTGTAGTCCTCACCAAGCCACTGCTTCATGTTTCTGATCTTCAAGCGCTGCATTTTTGGCCTTGGAAAGTTCAGTGCTATTTTGAGAAGGATCCCGTGCCAGTTTTGACACTTTGAAGATTCACTTTCATGAACATTCATCCACTTCGAACTTGGAATCAGCATCCATCTACATATTACCCTCCAGTAAATTAACATAGACCCTGGCAAATAGGGGTTGGAAGACTAGTTTCCATTAAAAAATGGTGATTTTCAGGGTCTATGTTTATTTACCAGAGGGTACCAGGGGGTACATCTTCGCAACTTTTTCTGTCACATTTTCAGACCGGATCAACATGACAGCGATGACAGCATGGATCAGGGAAAGCTCCAGCCAAGGGGACGACCGCAACTTCTCGTTTTGCTGCAGCTACCGCTTCCTTGTCATCTGGTTGAATGCTGAAACAAACGAAAGAAACGAAAGAAATGAAACTCAGAAGATGCGTTTGAAGCACAAAAGTGTGCGACAGAACTGCATTTTGGATCATTTTGGATCATTTTGGATCATTTTGGGACATTTTGTCAAATTTGACAATTTTGACATTCATAAATTCATAAGCGTCATAACGATGTTGTAGTGCATTGATGGAATGGCTTTTCAACAGCACTGCTACAGGCCTCTTGTGCAGCAGTTGAAGACTGCAGCTTGAAATCCAAGAGCCTGCAGCAGATGATCATTCGCTTTGTAAACTCGCAAACCCCGCAACGTAAAAGAAAACAAGTGTGATGAAAATGATGTTATAACTTATAACTATATCCCATAGGATCCATGTATGCTATATATGGTAACATTTACCATCAATATACCCCAAATGTTAGCATATATACCATACATGGATCCTATGGGTATTTGAATTACCATCAAGAGCAAAACTGTCAATGAAGCAATGATAGGGGTATCAATATCATAGTGTACTTATCTGAATGCCAGCATCAATACCAATATCATTCAATATCTATACCATCTAATCTCTATGTATAATACATTGTAATGTAGAAACTATCAATATATGATATATAATCTATTGAATCTATTGTATATATCAATCCCATGTCACATCATGTCACAGAAAGATCCCGAAAGAACTGTGGCATACTGTGGCACAATGGCAGTCCACGGCAGGCCTCAGTTGCTCTCTGAGCTGATCTGCTTTGTCTTGCCACTTGGCCTGTTCCTCTTCTGCAGCTTGGGCGCGATCCAAAGAAGCTCTGCTTTGGACCTGGAAACCGGAGGAAACCGGCGGAAATATGGCAGTAGATGGACAGTACATGGACAATACATGGGCAGATAGGAAGTACCCAGAAGTTGCCGACATCTGGGGCATGTAGCAATTGACATGTTGAAATTCGAGGCTTGATGGTTTGATGCTCTACTTGGAACGGAACAACAGTTCAGGGATGTCTGAAAAACGATTCAAAACGCGTCCTTTCTAACTACGTTGATAAATGATGATTAACAGAACATGATAGATAGTTGTCATGATATATCAAGACTTGTACATTCTGCGTGTGCTGAGAACTTTCTCTCAGATTCTCTGGTGGAGGTCAAAAACAGCTGCACCTGCGACTCTGTGGCTTTTTCAGATGTGATCTTTGCACGTCCGACCAGTTCCAAAGCTTCCACCTGCATCTTGTGGTTTTCCCTATCCACAAAACATCAGAAAACAGAAACACATCTGATTCACCATTCACCTGAAACCACAAACGAAACCCGCACTGGTCTGAACTTGTTCATCCTAGTCGCGGCCATTCGCTGCTTAAATCTTCTGTGTCTTCCGGACATCAAATCTCGGTTTACCACTGTGTGTCACTGCGTGTCACTTGTCACTGCCTCCTTCTTTTGTCTCTCTGAAGTGACATGGGCAAGGATCTCCAAGCACTTCTCGTGGCTAGAACTGGCACCAAAGATGACAGCAAAGTAACCTGTGGGATTCGTGAAACTGCAAGGCTAGTTCGACTATGTTCGACTCGTTCTGATCTGCACCGGACCCTGAACAAGACTCTTCAAGACTGAAGTGAACAACTCACAAAACAATCCACTGAAAAATCTGAAAAATGAACAAAGCGGATACATGCAGACACGCTGTTCGCCAGTGATCGGTTGATATCAGTTGATAGTTGAATCTCGAGGCCAGGGTGACCAGTTCGCATCGCTCCCATCGCTTTGCCCGCAGACCTTGATGCGATCGAGCTTCAAAAAAGTGGCTGCCCGGCCCAGTACCCTTCAAGACCTTCAATTGATTTCAATTAAGCACTTTTAGTAAACTGCTGTGGACATGCAATGAGTATCAAGTATCAATCCTACAAATACCACAAATACATGCAAATATCTCTCTGTTCATATCCTGTCATACTGTAGCTACAGGAATAAATTCAACTATAGGACAACCTAACTGTGTTTCACAGCATTCTTACCAAGACGCAAGTCCAAGCTGAACAAGGAGCAGCGACAATGCCCTTAGTGTATCCAGCAAGCCAGTCCAAAAAGTTCAATTTTCCTATGCTTGGCCTGGCTGACAATTGCAAGATCAGCCATGGCTGGTTCCTACATCTCCATGGCTGGTGCCGCTATGCGGATTCACAATGACTGTTGCAAGGGCCGCAAGGGCAATGGCACAGAAATTCACCAATATCCACACGCAAAATATACAAATGTCATCCGTTTAAATGACACATCACCATCCATTGATCAATCATTCCTGAACTGCATGACGGTTACACCAGTTCTTTGCCGCACCTGCGCAGCATCATTGCGGATGGAGCTGGACCTGCCTGGAAGTTGTGAAGATTAGCGGTTCGGATCCGTTCGGCCATTCGGCATGGATGATCGTTGTACTTCAGAGATCACTTCTGAGGGTCGGGCTCATGTGAGCTCGCACTCGTCCCAATTGCGAGAAAACTGACATAAAGATACATAAAGATACATAAAGGACAATTCTCGAACATTGCTATGGAATTGCTGAGCTGGAATGTATTGGTATGGATATGGCAGGGTTCGAGGTGGTTTTCAGTCGCCTGAGCCACACGGAATTTGTGTCTATTCCTTGGGTCTATGGTCAGTTGGTAACTTCTGAGCCAGCACAGCAAATGGAGAGGCGCCCTTTCTCATGGCAAACAAGTTGATACAAGTTTCTGAAGCGGGGCTGTTGGTTGTCCTTACGGATTCTCACTCCTCACATTTGAATTGCCCTATTAATTCCCTCCCTTGAATAGTTCCTCTGGACTTGGCGTATTGAAGCCAGTCTGAACGCAGAGAAAACAGCAAGAGGCTGGAACCGCAGGTATAGAAAAGAGAAAGCCGCTGAGAAACCAACCAAGACAAGAGAGCTGACCTAGCCACAAGAGGCAAAAACCTTTCCTGAAAATAAAGAAACACATAGGCTGCAAGAAACACAGGCAAAGGCAAACATTTGAAATGCAGCGCCTTACACAACCACCAAGGCGGACACAAGGATATGAAAAAACAACAAAGACAAACATTCAAACAGAGCGAAAAGATTCAGACGAGATGATGAAGATAAAACGATCTTGATGACGACGACGACGATGGTGATGATGATGATGATGGTGATGATGATGATGGTGATGGTGATGGCGGTAGTGGCGCTAATGAAAATAATAGTAGAGATGATGATGTTGAGAATAAGATGATGCCGCAACGTTTCTTGTGCCTATGTTTGCTTTCATGATTTTGTTGCGAACCATCCGATGAGGGACTCAAAACCGTGAAAAAGGAAGGTCCTTGGGGAAAAGTAAACTTCAAAGCATGACTCCACCATGTCACTGCGCTGGACTGAAGTTGGAAGGTACAAATCAGCTGACTTTGAGGCAACCAGCATGCAGAACAATTCTATTTGGCATTGTCATCTCCCAGAGCAATACGCACCCCACTCATTTGCAGTTTGGCAGTCCAATGACACCCCGTCCTATGTCTCTAGATCAGTCAGGGGCTTAAATGGAATAATATGTTGCAAACCTTTTGCACCAAACTTTTCTATTTGTCTCCTGATGTTTCCTTCCGGGAAATTCCTACTTTCAGCTTCCTTTGCGTGAACATCACTTGTTCCTGAGCACCTTTTCCTTTTCCAAAGTCTGTACGGCATCCTTCCAAGAAACTGGCTTCATAGAGCCAGTGGCAGTAGTAGCAGCAGTAGCAGCAGTAGCAGTAGCAATAGCAGTAGCAAAGCAGTAGCAATAACAATAGCAGCAGCAGTAGCAGTAACAGTAGCAGTAACATTACCAGTAGTAGTAATAGTAGTAAAAGCAGCAGCAGCAGCAGTAGTAGTAGTAGCAGTAGTAGTAGCAGTAGCAGTTGCTGCTACTTCTTGTACTGCTACTACTTGTAGTACTAATACTACTAGTGTAGTACATTGTAGTACTAATACTAGCGCAGTTGCCGCGCTGGCGCGGGTTCGGCGCTGGCGCAGGTTCCGCTCTACTACTGCTGCTACTGCTACTCCTGTTGTTATTATCATTATATTATTTTTCTTAATTTTAATTTATCATTAACTATTAAAATTATGTATATTTATTACTGCTACTAGACTGCGACGGCTACTATTTCTACTACTACGAGGACGAGGATGACGACGACTAGCAGTAGTAGTACGTAGCAATGGCCATGGCCACTGCGAGGAGACAAGAAAATAAACGGCATGGCTGCCAAGGGCTTAAAACGAATATGGTTGATACTGTTGATACCCTGTTTTGAAGTCGATTTTTTCCGATCACCTGATTGCTAAAAAAACTAGACGACAACATGGGCCGAAAGAAAGCAGGAGAGAGGAGACAAGAAAATTACACAAAAGAAGATATTTGGGAATGATGAATGACGATGAAGAGAAGAAGAATCCGTGGCACAGCATGTTCAGGCTTCACACTCATAAGACTTCAATATGTTTGCTTTCCACTTGCAGTGGTCCGTGGAAAGTTATCCTTTCACAGCCGGCCAGAGAAACACGGAAAAAACATGAAAAAACATTCAAAATTCATCCAACTTCACCCTTAAACCATCTTAAACTGCTGGATGTGAAGGACTCTTTTTCCCACTGCAGTTCTGAGATCCGATCATTTCGGTAAACCCATCGCTTGCGAGCTTGTCACGCAAATTGCTATAGCGAAGGGCCGACCCTCACTGGTCGCATGAGTCAACAATTTCATTTACTTTTTGCATGTTTTTTCCTTTTCTATTTTTTTTCATTGCGGAGCCAGATTTCCCTCTTGGAGAAGCTGCTACGAAGTCACGCCGTCACAGAATGTCATAGAACACATGGCACATCATATTTTAGCATCCGAAACCAAAGGACACCAGGAGAAATACCTCAGTCGTCGAGGTATTGCATGTATTTGCATGTTATAACGTCTGCCACTGAATAAAGCATAGCGGTTGAGTGCTCAGAACTGTTCATTTCGGCAATCATGACCAGGTCAGGTGGTTTTGAATTCAGAAAGGTCGCCAGCAGCGCTTGAAAACCCAATGGAGATGCAGCTGACTGAAGTGTCTGCGCAGGGGAAGTCAGGTGCTCAAAATACGACAAAGTGACACTGCTGAGTTCGGTGGTACTTTCAAGGCATGTAGCAGAATCTAGCACTTCTATCATTCAGAGCGCATCGCTGTCATCATTCTCTTGAAAGCAAACAAACAACAGGGACAACTCGTACTAAAACTAGACCAGTACAGGGCATGACACATGCAAGACACAACTGGGCAGTTGAGTTTGCCTCGCGAACACGAGGAGGAAGACATGGTCTCTCTTCCGGCGAGCAAAACGCTGACCCTAGCTCACCTGTTTGGACAAAAATCGGAATGATCTGCATCTTGACATAAGACATCATCAGACACCAGTGAGAAGAGAAGGTATATGATATATAGATATATTGATATATATATATATATTAATACATGTGTTTGATTGTTTTTGTATAGCCAAATGTCAAGAATTAAAAAACAATAGGAAGAAGAAGTTCTTTGGCTCTTGAGACCCTGCAAGGGGAGAATGCAAAGTTGAAACTCGGGGGAATGCTGCTTTCAATGAAATGTATGGCAAACCGCTGAAATGTTTCCAAGAATACCGTAAAGATCCGCAAGTTTTGTGCAAACCATGGCGACAAACATGGCTTTCATGGCGTCAGAGATAGTCAGACTTGCAGGATCTTGATGGATCTTGCAGGCGAGAAACGATTCAGCAAAGCCAAATGTGCCTCCAGCAGCGGCTGCACAGGCTGAGTTTTTTCAACCTGCACAGCGGCGCCACGGCCAAACTCAGCTAAGGGAAAGAGTCACCCAACTGATCCAACTGCAGCTTTTGTGCTGTGAAATACTTTGACTGAAAATTCACCTACGACATCAAACACTGAGACTCATTTAACTCATTTAACATCAATTATCATCAATTTAACATCACAATTTGTTTCTTCTGGGCTCTTTTTCCATTGCAGCCACCTTAGCCATCTTGAACGTCATTTGGAGTTATGGTGGTAGGCCATGGTAGGCCCCATTCCGGTGGTCCATTGGTCCATGGTGGTCCCATGCGTCCCCATGTCGCAAAAAATCGTGGATCCACAGTCATCCACCCGATCCACCCCCAGTTACATGTTGGTTAACATATATCTCTATAACTCATCGTGCTGCTCCAACTGAACATCATAGAAGGTTCACTGTTCATCACTATATATATATATATCATATATCACATATATATCACTATCATCCAACCTGGGAACCAACGTCCCGGGCCCCGACATGTCTCGACATGTCTCGACATGTCCCGGATGGCCTTGGAGGATGACAAGCGCTTCTCTGCAGCTCGAGTGTCACCACGCAACTGCCGCATCTGAAGCAACAGCTGTGCTTCCAATGACTCTGGCAGCTCCTGTAATGGGCTGATGGACTGATGGGCTGATGGCTGGTTAAGTTGAGGTATTTTGTGAAATCTTCAATACTTCAACTGGTGAGAAACACGTGGCACATCGTGGCACTGTGGACAAGACTCCGCATATATACACATATCAATACATATCCATATTATCTGTCAGATACTGTCAGCAATAACGAGCCATGACGGTTTGGATATTGCGTGATATTGCCATGAAAGACCTTTCAGAATCGGATCGTCTCTCGCGCTTGCGCCTTGCTCAAGTAGAGTTGTGTCATATGCCGAACATACTCCAGCTGAAGCGTCATTTCCTAGGACGGTTGAGTAAAACCAGATTGTTTCGTTCCGATCGGATGTAACATGATGTAACAAATCTCTGAGCTAAAACTGCCAGCCCAGCATCTACTGTCGAAGGGACTGCAGCTTTGGGATTTTCCAAATTCAAATGAAAGCCACCCAGAATGCTATCGCCCATCCTGCTGAGATTGGCCAGTGGTTGAAGTCTTTGCTGGAGGCAACATGAGGCAACCCTTGATGAGATCGTAAGAAGTCTAAATGCAAATACATGTCAGTCAATGAAGAAACTCAACCAATTATCTGACAAAGCATGCGTTTTGATTGTTTTGGGATGGGGTTGTCCCTTGTTCCAAAGAAAAGTTATATCTATCGAACATCTATGGCAGATGATGGCAGCCAAACGTCCCCCGAATGGCCCAGAATGGCCAATCAAAACACACCAGACTGAGGCTTGTCCTTGTGAGGAAGTCTCCCACAGTGAGGACAGAAGGCTTCGATGCATTTTTCTGCACTAGAAGGAGCTCCTGAAAACTTGCGCAACGCGTCCATTCCTATTGTGAAGAAACTGCTGGACGATGGTGACTCAAAGCAGCACCTTTGTTTGGCTTCTTCACACCGACTGAGAAGCTATGTTCTGGCCAATGAATCCAATGAATCCAATGAATCCACTGAATCCAAAGGCGCTTCGAAAGTGTCCTGCTTTCGAATTTGCATCAATTTCTTCTTCGACAAGAGCTTCTTCAACAAGGACTTGATCAGGTGCCTTGATATGCCAAACTCGCTATTTTTTTAAAAAAGTATGAAAACAGAACTTGCATCAATTAGAATCGTCTCTTGATGATCTTGATGTCTTGATTCATAGGATGCTTTACTTCCCTTCGGCTCGATGATGCGGTATCGTCCTCCATCCTATTGGAAATCCTTATGGGTGTATCAATCTCTATGAATTGACGACCATGCCCCAATCGGGTATATGATGATCCTTATCATGGACAAAATTAGCATATAAAATCTATACATATAAATCCCTGTCGATAAAGAACCAACTTTTTGACCTCCTTGCACACATGTTACCAGCCCACGATTTTCTCACCGAGCAGCTCACTGACCTGCGCCAGATCGATGCTGTTGATGGTATCTGCCTCGCCATCCACCACGAAAGGCAGGGCCTTCAGCACAAATCCAGGAGTCATCAGAGTCAAGTGGTTGTCTTCAATTGTTTTCCATATCCATCCAATGATATCTAGTGTCTGTAAACTCTGGCAAATACTGGAAACCATCATCAATTACCATCATCAATGATATCTACCATCATTTACCATCATCTACCATCATCAACCACCATTTCACAAAGGATGTCAACATCCATCGCTGCCGAAAACCCCGGGCCTCTGGTGGTGGTAGCAGCCCGGCTTTGGAAGGCCGTAGCAACGTCAGTAGAGCTTCCAAGGCACGGCGCTGAAGTGCCAGAGGCACTGGCTGCCTGGCCTGACATCATGGATGATATTATGATATATATATATCATGGTTGATGGTTGATTAATGGTGGTTAATGATGGTTACTGATTTTTTAATGGTTGATAATGGCAAATGATGGATCCATGATCCATGATTCTTGATCAGATAATGTGATTTTCACTTCGTCAAGCCACCTTTGAGGAATTCCAAACGGCAGCACGGTGCACGTAGTGATTGTGAATGCCGCCAATCCAAGGAACTAAGCCTCAGTCTTAGACGTCTTCGACATCTTCGATTTCATGAGATTTCCACAAAGTCACTATGACACGGAATTGAAGCCAAGCAGCTTATTCCAGTGTAGAGGGCCTCCCTGGCAGGAGGCATGACTTTCTTTGCTGAGCAGTACAACTGGCTGTTTCATGCTGTTTCCAGGTCTTTGAAATAACTATAAATAACTCAGATGACTTTCTCAGGTTGGGTTTTCGGTTTCCAAATGTTTCCCTGGCAGTCTCTTGACAGTCCCGGTCAAGCCATTCGGGTGTAGCTTGTGGCCTGAACAAAGACTTGACAGCAGCTCCATAATGTCGCCATGGGCCATCCACCTCAACCAGCACCAGCACCGATGTTGCCACAAGAACAGTAACCTCCAGACCTTTTTTAAGGACATTCGAACGGACCCGAAAAAAACTTCAGGAAGATAAACAGCATGGGATCATAAGAACCCTGAGCATATTGCAACTAATATGGCGACCATGCGGAGCATCAGGTCATATCAGGTCGTCCGAACCTGGACAAAGGTGGTGTGCAAGGACTTCTGAGCTGCTGCCAAACGTTCTATTCGATCCTCTTGGAAGGCGACTGGGTCCTGCCAAGTGGAGTGACAATAAGTGTGTGGCAAGCAGGAAATGACACAAGGCTTGTTCAAAGTATTGAAAGTGTAGATTGTGAGTGTTCCATTTTACCAGGTGGACTTGCCTTATTGTTGTGACAACAAAAGAGAGTATTAGGAGATCTGAAAGGTCGTTTAAAATCCAACATCTGTGGTGTTATAGTATAATCTACAATTGACCAGGGAGTGTACATTGTGAAGTGAGTGAGACATAGAGACTTGAAACTGGAGACGATCTTTAAGGCACGAAATTCCTAACAAAATGGACTGAAAGCAGCAAGTTCCATGAGCAGTCGCAGAAACACAAAGCACAAAGAGCATCAGATAGTGGCACACGAGCGCAAGAGAAAAGCTAAAGCATATTCAAGCATTGTTCTGAAGTTAAAAATTGCAAAATGAGAAAGCCAAATGAGAAAGCGTAAAGATGCAAACTGAAGTACATTACTGTATATGAAGTTATCATTTATCATGGCTTATCATGGTCAACTTTTTCAGACCTTCCGGGTCCTCTCCCAGGTCTTCCGCCATGCAATATGGATCTTCACCCTCCACATCACTGTCGTAGCACACGTCGAATTCTTCTGCTTCTCCTCTGATATCATTCAACCTCAACTGGCTGGGCACCTTCTGGAGGTTAGGCATGGCTACTGTACATCTCAACATCCGGCACACATCAAACACTAGGAACTATTCATCAATATTCATCAATAGCATATCTCTGGTTCATCCCAAAAATCATCCCCTCAGCTCATCCCAAAGATCCTTGGTTAAAAAAACCAGTGAACTAGGAACTATTGAAGCATCAATAGCATATCTCTACTGACTCTACTGGTTCCCAGAAATAATCCCCTCAGCTTTATCAATTGGGATCACCAGTGAAACCATGTGTGAAACCATCAGGGCGGATGGAACTGGGATGTGGCAAGATGTGGCAAGCAGCAGAACTGTAGCAGAGGCCGGGTCTGGGGCCTCACTGTAGCCGTAACGGATGGCCAATTGATCCTGGGCTGAGCAGCTGAAAAGTGCCATCTTGATGGGGTCACATCCGGGTACACTATGGTCGATTTATATACCCCGAATCCATCCAAATCCATCCAAATCCACCGTAGTTGATCATCGAATATCAAAATTGCAGGAATTCGCAATTTTCAGACCCAAATTAGATAAAAACTTAGCACTCAGCCACTCAGCAGCTGAAAATCATGGAATCATGGCAATCGGATGCGAAATCGCATGAAATCGCATGAAATCGCCAGGAGTCGTATGCACCGATCGTCGGTGGGAAGATGTGCACGGGCGTGTTGTTCTTTGGGAGATTCAGGGGGACATAGTCCATGATACCTAACCCACGAGGAAACAGGAAGGCCGCTGTGGTTTGGATGGTATAATCAGTTTACTTTGTGTAGATATGCATCATGCCTCATGCTGTTCTAAGTTTTGCCTCAGTGACCAAAAAGAGTGATACTTAGTCCTGTAACAAAGCCATGAAATCATCCTTGATTGTTTCTTTGTCAAGAGGTTCAATAACATCTTTCAGCAAGGTACTTGCAGTGATGCTATGCCTTTCGGTACAGCTGATGTTCTGCAAGCACTTCTGCGTGATGGCAGTGCTGCCCTTGAAATTGTGCCTGCCGAGATGTATGCGTCAATACTGGAGTAGCAAAGAAATTAAATTAACTGGTTCAAGGCTTCCCTTTTACATTTTTGCCCAAAGCAGTCTGTTTTTTCTGAAGAAATCTACAGGAACTCAAAACATATACTGGGTTCAGGAAGAAACAGTCACCACCACACTTTTGAAGAAGCACAGTATAATCAGTATAGCCAAACATCTCTCGTTTGCAGAAAAAAATGGCGCTGGTCTGAAGTCGACACGGCATTCTCGAAGCGTTGAAGCCTGAGCCCCAAGATGTGGCCCATTTCATGCATGATGACACTTCGAAGCCCTTCGCCCATCAACACCTGCACCATCGACAAGCATGACAAGCATGACAAGCCAAATCCACAGGCACTTCAAGGTATTCCTGCTGAGCTTGGGGAAAGCATGGGAAAGGCCAATCAAACGTGCACTGAATGTGGTTCAACACCGTTGAACACCGTGCCATTTTTACAGTCCGAACGAACACCTCCAGCTGCGCTTCCGTCATGGGTCCAATGGCAGCCAAGAGCAAAGGAGAGATGCCACGCGTCTGCAACGCACAGAATGTTTCAAAAGAAACATTTTGTATTTTCTAGATGCACATCTGACCAAGCCGATTCAAGTTTCCACTTGTACTGTCAACCCCGGATTGACAAGACATAGTGATAAATGAGTCATTGTAACAATCAACATTGGCACTCTCCATATACGAAAAAAAACAGGGCTTTATCAATTTATCAATTCTGGGTTAACATTGCAGTATCAATTGATATCAACAGCTTTGACCAAACTTTTCCACCTGTCTGAGAACAAGGGAATCGCCGGAAAAGTCTTGTGCCTTTTGTTGCCTGGCGGAGCGGCGGATTCTGACCCGCTTTCTATAAAATGCAGTGGGAATGGTTGATAGAAATGCAATGAAATAGAGCCAACCAAACTTTGGGCCGTCAAGCGTAAACCTGACAATAATTTTGTCAAACTATGTCCTTCCAATAGAAACAGAACAAAATGAACAAAGATCTATCTGTTGAATCTGTTCTATTCTTTTCTCTTTCTTGGATCTTCCAGGCCCAGGTGACTCAACTGTGACTCATCTGTGACTTGACTTGACTTGGCCGGTTTCATCCGGTTTCATCCGGTTTCATCCGGTTTCATCCGGTTTCCAAGGCCTTTGGACTCGATCTTTCTTCAAACGCCTGATGGAAGGAAAATGCTTTTGGGTCAGCAGCTCTGTGGGGCGAGGATGATGCAAGTCCCAAGGCATTCACACGAATCGAACAGCTTCACATGTTTCACCACATGTTTCACCACATGGTTTATATGTTTTACATGTTTAGCACATTCATTTCTTTTAGATCTGAAGTATTCCGAAGTTGAAGCGTGTCAGTTCTTCCGAAAAAACTTGAAGTGTCACTGAAAAAAATCCACGCCTTAGAGGCCGGGCTTCACGGAGCTGTCCGTGGGATCCATGGAGGCTACTAGTACTACTAGACCTCTCAGCAGATTCTCATGATGTCAGGATATGTCAGGTATAGCATCAAAGTCAGTGGTGATTCTCGGCTTAAGCTCTGACTAAAATGACTTAAATATATTGCCAAAGTCTGTAGAAAGAGTGGTACGGCATACTGCCGGCAGTATGACCACAACAGAAAAACATCGCACCCGCAGCGCCTTGTAAAAAGGTCCACACGCTCTGCATGAGTCACGTTGGGGGCCAACAAATCCAGCTCTTTCAGCCATGCCCAAACCCAGCCTCTCAGCCATGGCGAAGTCCGGCCAAGCTGCTTGGTGAATAGACAAATTCAAAGTGCAATGCACACAATGATCTGACAGAAAAGCGTTTCATAAAGCTTCTCTCTGCATGGAACTCAGTTCCACAATTTGAAACGCTTGCCAAAGGCTGCCAAAGCGTTTTCACTGAATTCATGGGTTGTACCAGACTTCACTTCAAAACGAACACTGAAAGTGTTACAGAAAGTGTTACTGTACAGAAAGCATCAGAAAGCTGGCCAAAAATCCACCGTGCACCGTGCCTTCACCCATTCGAATGTCCGCCTTGATAATCTCTCCAGTCCGTGGATCAACCTGCCATGGTCGGCGCAAGGCAGGAACCAGGCGGCAGCTAAATATCCGTGGATTAATGGGATATGATTGGATTATATTGGAATTATATTATATATATATTATATATTATGGATTATATTGGATATATTGGATTGCAGATCTTGTTAGATATTGAAGAAGTATGGTTACCCAGCGAGGCTGCCAGATCTGCCAGACACTGACGTCACTTAAATCTTCTCCCCACGGATGTCTGGCAGAAAAATCCGTGGCCATCCGTGGCCTTGGCATCACCTTCGCTGGAGACCTCATCGGAGATGGACCAGGAAATGGTGCTGTACCGAGCATCTGCCTCGGAGCTACCCTCTGGTAAACTAACATAGCTATGGAAAATCACCATCTTTCATGGGAAAAGTCACAATCAATTGTCATTTTCAATAGCAAACTGTTAAATTACCAGAGGGTATGCGGAGCTATGCGGAGCGTCACAGCTGTTTTTTTCGCTGATCTCCAGCTGCACCGAGGTTTCGACCAGGTCGTAATCCGTTGGCCAATCCGACTCTTCAGGGAGGATTGCCTGAAATCTCATTGAAATCTCAACATATTCTCCAACTCAACGTAGTCCTTAAGCTATTATAAGGTGTAGACATGTGTAGACATTAAAAATCGTCAAGTTCATAAGAGATCCAAGAACCACTTCCAAATTCCAACTTTGGAGGTGATGAGATGATCTCAGATGATCTCAGATATATGATATATGTGTATCTTAATATGACATTATATATTATGATGATAGGATATAGTAACATATACATATGATAATCATATGATGATATGTTCTGCTTCAGTCACCACATGTCACCACTATGGCTGGCGCCTTGACGAAAGCAGGTGTACCCAGCAGTGCGAAGCCAGCGTTCCAAGCTTCAACGCCCTCCTTCACCCAGATCCGCCAGCGAGAAGGCACCGTAGGATCCACATAGATCCTGACCAACTGCCCAAACTGAGAAACTGCCAAACATGTTTCCCAAGATTTCCTTGGATCGCAAAGGATTTTTGACCTGTTAGATATTCCATATCATTGTTTTTTAAAGTTGTTAAACACATATTCAAAGATATTGAAAGAGATTATACATGGATTTCCTTTGCATTCGAACTGTTCGTTTGAACTTCTCACCAAATAACAAACATGAGGAGACTATGAAACAAAAGTATAACAACTTGACATAACCTGACCACATCTAACCCTCTACATGCCTCATATCTAATCGCAGGGTCCAGAATGGTCCAGCCATGTCCTGATGGTTCGGTCCACCAACTTTGCCAAATCCCATCGCCAAATCACGGAAGTTTCCCGGTCCACGGCCTGTCAACCGTCCAACAATGAGCCAATGAAACTACATGACCCATAGAAATAGATGGTTTACCTGGGTTTACCTATTAATAGCATATGGTGATTTTCCATGGTGAACTGTTAAATAACTACATGAACATAAATTAAGCCATGACTTTTCAGCAAAGTGCCTCACTGGGCAGGGTCTTCACGTCTGCCGAGTGATATCCGATGTCTGTGAAATCCTGGGTCATCTGTTTGGCTTCGGTCGATGTTTCACAGGAAAGTTTCCTTTTGAGACATTTGGACTTCGCTCTGAACAACAGTCATTTAAGCAGATTCAAACATATGATATACCTACCAGGCATCTGGTTATGACTAACAGTTCGCCATGGAAAATCACCATGCTATTATAATAGGTAAACCATCTATAAATGGGTCATTTTCCATGGCTATGTTAGTCATAACCAGAGGGTATATGATATATGTGTTGGATCAACTGGCTTGTTGGTATCGTAAGATCATTTTCGACTTACGAGTCTGCCACACGACTGAAAAGTTTATGCCAAGAAACTGAGGTAAAGTACAGCAAACGATCATCGGCTGCCCGGGTCATCATGGGCTTCGCAGGAAGAACCTGCAAAGAGAAACCCAACGTCACCGGCACGACGCTCAGGTACTCCACCGTGAGGTCCAAATTGGAAGGGAATGCCTGGCAGATGGTACTGGGATGTACTGGGCAAGTAGGTCCAAGTTGAGAAACACATTCTCCAGACTCATTTTCCACGGTAACAGCACTGTACCACTTCCAGACTTCCAGGTCCATATATCCACAAGCCACAAGGTGGAGAAAATCTGGGAAACATGTGGGACCATGTGAATCCAGATCTAACTTGGACAGTCCCAATCTGATGCATTCATCTTGGCTCTATGCAACCTGTGAGTTGATGATGCGGTAGTTGACGACTTCTCCAAGTTGAAAGGTGTAGAACATCTTGGCCACCTGAGAATTCATTGAGAATTCACATTCTGCGAGGACATAGGCCACATATTAGGCTACGAATCTTGGACTTCCCGCCATGAGAGTCATGACTGTCAAGTGGCCGGGTTATTCCAAGTCTAATTCTAAAAAATGATCCTTTGACTTGTAACTGTATCTGCCTGTCTCTGCCTGTCCGTGTACGCTTTGGACTTGGAAGATCTGATGCTTTGTCATTATTTTATACAAAATTTACCATATTCTACCATATTTTATCCAACATTGTAACATTGCCATGGGAGACTTCCTTCATTTTTTTTTAACCGCGGTATTTCGAAGCCAGTTCCGAGGCGCCAGTGGTGACACGTCCACAACGACATTTTGATCCAATGGAGCTGGGCATGGAGAGATTGGCAGCACATCCAACCAGCCATCGCCTGCACCTCTCTGGACAGCTTCCTCCAGCGCAAACTCCCGGAGTCATACGGAGTCATAACATCTTTGTTTTCTATGATATCAATAACTCAATCAAATAACTATAAATTAGAGTTATACAACTCAATACATCAAGATATATATAATATTTCATATATTTCAATGATATCACATGATTGAACAGCTGTTTCATTGATGTTTCTTGGCGGTGCAATGATGGTCCGCTCCTGGGACTCCACGTCAGAGGTCCGCAAAGCCATCTGCGGTTGGTAGACGTTGACCACTGACCTGCGAACAAATGTAATGTCTATATTACACGTTATATATATATCAATTATATCATCTATATTATGGCTGTAATGTATATATATATATATATCATCTATATCGCTGATATCACATGATATAACTATATTATAGGATATGATGGGTCTGCCTGAGAATATGCTACCCCTGAATTCATTGGTTTATCAATGCTTATCATTTCCGCTAGTAACGTCATGTAACATTGCCATTTTTTGGGGTGCATGGCCCATTTTCAGACACAGCCATATACCGTAGCGTGATATCAATTGATACCCTTTCCATCCATTTCCTCTCGATGTTCAGCTGGCTAGTCAATATCCCCCTTGTATGGCTAAGGCGGCTAAGCAACCTTTACCAAGTTCTGTGTCTAGAACATATTTAAGCAACACAAGCCAATGCTATACCTTGTTGATTTGTGGTGCACTATCATGTTGAACTTATTGATGTCTTGCAGCTCTGCAATGCTTTCAGGGCCGTCGCTTTCATGGCCTTAGGTTCACTGAGATTTTGCGGTGCGCCTTGCACGGTCCAGCTCAAGTTCAAGGTAAACGTCGGTGTTCTGCCCGAGGGTGGCCAAGAAACCTGCGCCTGGCGGAAGCACGGAAGCACGGCAAATCCTGGCGACACTTCACCAGCAATGTGGGTTTGTCTGAAAATAGGGTATATTCCCAAACAAATAGCCATTTAATTCCGGGATAATGATCAGCAAAACCATTGGGTTTAGGGGTACACTATTTTCAGACACACCCATGTAGCAATGTAGGGTGCCTATTTGTTTTTTCTGGCCTTCGACATAGGTCCCATCTGTGACCATGGTGGTCACTAAAATCTGGACCACCTGGAACGAAGCGACAGAGAACAAACTTTTCTTCGGATTCCAATGATTCCATTATAATTTCCATGAGCATTTTGAAGACCTGGCTGGCATTGAAGGCATTGGTCAAATCGATCGCCATGATGTCAGGGCTCTTGTCGGACTGGCATGGCAGATCTGCGCAGATGCAATCTGATCACTCGATGGAATCACTGCTGTGCACTGAGCACTGCCTGAACGATTCGGAGCAGTGCACCAGCTGGTCCTGGACATGGGTAAAAAGATGTAAAAAGACATGACATGCACAGGAAAAACAATGACACACTATGAAAACCATTGAAGAATGGATGATGAAAAAGATTGATAAAGATGATAATGATCATGTTGATCATGACTGACGATAATGAACTTCTAATGAATAAGGACGATAAGAAAAAACATGGACGGATGCTGATGACATGATGACGTCCGCATGGATCATCCCCGCTCCGTCAGGTTGGCAAACATTGCTTCCAACAGCATCTCCCATCATCTTTTTGAGCCACTTGAGAATCTGCTCCGCCTCCTGCTGTTGTTTTAACATGTTTTAGCACCATGTAAATCCATGTAAGAGTATGTAAGGGACTGCAAAATACACACCTCAGAAGGTATTTGTTTAATTGAAACAGGTTGATTTTTTTTGCCACCATCCCGGTAAGATCCATCAAGTGATATGTGGCTTCACAGTTGGCCTTGCAAACCTGACAAAAACCATTGGGTAAACCGGGTAAATCGCAGGGCAAAGCACTGCAAATATAGAATGACCCCATATTTATTGATTATCTATATTTGACCTCAGCCTCACACAAAACATCAAAACATCACAAACTCAAAGAATCTGTCGTGACTCACGTGACGCCTTCTCTTTTTCATCGCCAGTAGCATTGCCTCCAAGAGCTTCAGTGCAGGTTTTGAGCATCACAGAGCCAAACGTGTCACAACGTGTCACAACGTGTCACAGCACAGGCCTGGCATGCTTTCGTTGCTTTCGTTGCTTTCGTTGTTTTCGTTGCTGCGATTGCTGTTGCTTTCATTGTGCAGTATATTCACCTGCGTTCGATTCAGGTGTCTTGAACTCTGGGGATCTTTGGGAGAAAACTCGAATTCTTCATGGTGATGACTGAAGTACTTCTTATAGTAGCACTTCATCACACTTCATCACACTTCATCACGCTTCATCACGCTTCATCACGCTTCATCACGCTTCATCACGCTTCAGCACTACGAACGCAAATAGGTGAAAAAATGATAAAAAAGGTGAAACGTACTGAGAATGGAGTGCCAAAATGAGGACAAAGCCACAAGACGATACAAGACGATGCAAGATGCCAGTTTTCAGGAGCCTTGCGAAGTGCCTTGAGACTCCATGAAGACTCCCTGAAGACTCCCTGAGATTCCCTGGAGACCCCGGACCTCACGATTCAATGCGTCATGCTCATGCCTGTGCAGTGGCGCAAGTGGCATCAAGGCGTAACTCGTGATGAGCTCGTGTCAACGTTTCACGGTTTCACATGGTTTCACTGAGGTTTCACTGAGGTTTCACTTCTTGCAAAGTCGCTTTCTGTCGCTTCCATAGTTGGAGAACACTGAACATACTGAACCAACAATTACAAGGATTGCAATTTGAATGCTGTTCAGCACTTTGCGCTTACAAGTATGTTGGTATCCTACTGCCAAATGTTGAACGGGACTTTTGTTGGGTTCATAAAGCTGGGAGAGTGCAGCCCCATCCAAAAACGATGCTTTGATTCAAACCCAAGGAATCCAAGGAACAATGATTGCTGTCTCTGCAGCAATACTGGAGCAACGCATCCATTTTCGGCAGCAAATGCGAGCGAAAGGAAGAGTTGTCCCACTGCTAGCATTGCCGCCAGTCGAGGCATGGCCCCAGACTGTGGGTTCGCTACCCGAATTAGTAAAGTCAGAGAGTTGTGACTTGAACCTACACAGCATCATCGAACCATCGATCCACATCGACTGCAAACACTGCAATATCAGAAACATTCTGGCAAATTCTGGCACAGTCATCAAAGCTTCTGCATGTGCAAAAGCCACTTTTTCTTGTTGCACAGGAGTTTGAGGCCTATGGACGCGTATGGTCTATGGTCTATGTGAATCTATGTGAATCTATGTGACCTGTGACCTCAGCTGGTCAGGATGTAGACCCTATGTAGAGTCTATGTAGACTCTGTATGCTGATGTTGCCCGGCTGAGATCCTCACGGTGAAACTCTGTCACTAGTCACGACGAGTCACGACTAGTCCTGCCTTGCGTTTGCCCGGCGGCAGCAAATTTGCCTCGCGCCGTGGAGAATTGTTGGATTTGTTGGGCATGCAATCGCACCCAGCAAAAATATGAGTTGCTGCCTATCGTGCTCACGCTAGATCGAAACATATCGAAACTCTGACGGTGTCTCAAAGCTTTAAAATGTTACCCAACTTGCTTCAAGGACCCACGACATGGACTCACCCGTAGCTGTAAACTGCTTGCAATGCTTGCAGCTACAGCAAAAGGAAACCCAGCAATCAAATTTGAAGTATTTCCCAGACAGAAAGCACGACTGATATTTCGAATCTAGACATTAAAAAAATACCAGTGGCATGTCGCATCGTACATTGCCGCCATCTTTGCGCCCCCAAGTCTCATCATGTTGCGCTAAGATATGACAAGACACCGTATTCTTCCCACGATATTGCTGAAGATGCCGGCATCCGCCTTGCCAAGATTTTGATCGACCAAATTTTCAGTGGACTTGCATGCCCGGACCTCTTTTTTCTTCCATTGCCGAACAAGAATTTTCAACGTATTTATAGTTTTCAGCAGTATTGTCAAATGTTGTCAAATGTTGTCAAATGTTGTCAAATGTTGTCAAATGTTGTCAAATGTTGTCAAATGTTGTCAAATGTTGTCAATATTCAAGATCAGGTAATTGGAACTGTGGATAGTGGTGATATCATCCACACATCTTGCTCGCTTCATCTCGCTTCACCATGACCTGGTCTACCGAACAACGGTAGCACTTGGCTCAGTGAAACAATGGATGAACGATGATGAACGATGATGAACGATGATGAACGCCTGTCTGCCCGGTGTGCCGAAGATCCTTTGCGACATTCGCCTTGCTCCTTGGAACATCTTGGAACGTTTTAAGGCGCCTTTTGGCCGGCTATTCTGTAGGTCATGACGTGATTCATCATGATAGATCCTTTGTCCATCTATTGTCAGCAAGGTCCAACAAGGAAACAAGAAATGCTACCAAATACCAAAACAAAGTAAAACATATTATGAATTTCAATGAATACCTGAAGTTCATACACATAAACCCCTAGGGAAATACTTCATGTGACATATTGTGACATGCTCATTTCACGATGGCTCTGAGCTTCCGGCGCAGCTCTCCTCTAGCCTCGTTTCCTGGATGTGAAAAATCTGACAGAAATCTGACAGAGATATGCTGGTTTTGCTATGAGAATCTATGAGATGCTGCTAAGGCGCGCTTGGCCTTTTGTAAGAGATCCTGGCCAACACACATCAACATCATCAACACTCGAGTTGGATCACTATGGCATTGTGGAGATCCTGACCGAAAAATGGACATTGTTACAGGTTGTATGACTGATGTATGACTGATGTGAGTCATACATTGGGATACAAATGGGATCCTAGAACATCCAAGTCCACTTCGAGGTAGGAAAGTGTCAAGCTGTGCACGATTCTGAATATTTCTGAATTGTGGATTTTTGTGTTTGTTCTGTCTACTGAGTCTACTGATCACTGATCTCAGAGCACCGATTACTGGCCACATTCCAGATAACATATAACCGAAAACATAAATAACATAACCGAACATATTTAACCCATGCCTCGATGAAATCGACTGGATTCCGAATTTCTTCTCCCTTTTCGGACCGATTTTCAGCAGTTTGCTACATCAAAAAGAAACTTCGACATCCAAAGAAATCTCGGAATTAGTGCCCAGATTGCCCAGATTGCCCAGATTGCCATCAGAAAAACAACAACTTCTCCCCAGATTGCCGTTCTGGTTTTCGCAGCATTGCCACCGTTAGCCCCGTTGCCTTTGCAGCGAGATTATCAGGGTCCAGGTCCAGCAGTTTCTGCAGCTGTTGGGCTGCCTTGAGCCGAGAAAGTTGGAACAAGCGACCAGGGGTTACCGTTGTTTAGGGGCTCAAAAGCTGTGGAATATGTTAACATTTTGCTAGGATTAACATGGTGTAATATGGTTTCAAATGGATTAACATCTATTTTCCACCCATTTTGGTGTTCATCAGGGTCCCGGGCATTTCTGCGTAAGTGCTAAGTCTCGTGCCTGTGAATAGTCCATGGTCTCGAAAAGAGCCACAGATTTCCGATAGAGCGCCTGTACCGAAAAAAATCCAAATGACTGTGAGAGGCACAATTTCCAGGTAAACACAAATCCGTTATGAATTGATCATAGTTTTGGTCATAAATCCATCATAAGCCATCATCAACAGTCTCCAACATTCAGTGCTCCTCATTGCATTTTCAACACCATTTTCATAATGGCTTTGCAATAGCAACAGAAAACACACGTGAAAAATGTTGTGTTTCAAAAATCCATTCGTTTGGCTAGTGTACAATCGTGCAACAATTCGAATGTTGCCTGGCCCCTGGCAAACTGCGAGTTTACTGTTTTGACAGTGGCGAACACGTGCCTTTCCTCAAGTTCTTGTCCATCGGCTGATGGTTTCTTAGAGATCTTATATACCATCTGGTTATTTAACATAGCTATGGAAAATCACCATTTTTAATAGGTAAACCATCTATAAATGGGCCATTTTCCATGGCTATGTTAAATAACCAGAGGGTAAATCTACAAATCTGTGCATTTCTGATGCATCTGTGCTAAGCGGTCTGAATATTTCACTTAGGATCATCCGATCATCCCCCTGGAATTGCCATTTCAAGGCGCCTTGCTGCTTGAGGGATCCCTTCTCAAAGCATTATCAGCAAACTCCTGAGGCGTTGACAGCTGTGGGACATATATGGAACATAGTGCCAACATTTGCTAACTTCATGTTGCTTTACAAGGTGTTACACGCATGTAATGGGACAATTTACACAGATAATAATCATAATATCATAATATATTAAATATATTATATATATCTGGATATGCCTATTTCCCAGGAAAAATGTGCTTAGAATTTGAAAGTGCACAGTGTAAAAATGCTAAGAGTATCCAAGATTGGTACAATGCTCATTTGGAGATAATGTGCTCGAAAAGCAAAAATCTGTCGAAAACACATTGTTTGTGCTTTTGAAACTTTTTCGAGTGTGCAGGTATATGACAAATTTTGGCAACGCCCACATTGTGTGGGATTTTGGGATAAAGGGCTGGATAAGGGTCATCGAATCATACATCGATGGTATGGGATAGAAATGGATAGAATTCAGAGGGTCGGAAGTTTCCTCCTCAAGTTATTCAATTTGTGGGTTTTTCTTTTATTGCTCACATTGCCGGTTTTTTCTCCGTTGACATTCACCTGATTCTTTCTTTCTACCGGCTCAATTTTCTCTTGATTTTGCTCACAAAGAATTCTCTATCTGTGGTTTGCGCTTGTTTGCAGCTTGGAGTCAATGGCTTTGCTGAAATCACGCAGCTTGATATGAGCCTGTGCCAGGTTCAAATTAAACCTGAGGTCCTCGGTCTGGAGCGATTCATGAAATGTCAAGCTGTGAAAGTTCAACAAAAAGAATGACACAAAGATTCGAAGTTCAGCTTTTGCAACTAAGCCAAGAGCCATATTCCTTGGACAAGTGCAAGTGACTTTGGAATACTTTGGACTGATTTAGCATTCCAAATGCCATCCTTGAACCTCTTTGCCGTGGACAACCTTCATAAAGAGATTCCACCAGGATAGAGATGGGTAGCCATGAGCGGAGTTATCTAGACTGAGCAACTGTTTAGCAAACACATAAAAACCGTGGCAAACTTCAGCTAGGCTGCTCAACTTGCTTTTGATGTTCAGCATTGTGGGCATACCTGGCGAGATAATTGATCTGTTCGATCTCTTCGACTTGGGATGGCCTGGGTAATCTGGGTATCTGTCTGCAAAGCGAGCGACAGCTTCTTGTCCAGCAAATATTTCACCGAACGCAATGATGCCATCCAGTTTTTGACAGCTTCTTCATAATCTCCTCGATCATAGGCCTCACACACCAGTTGAGAAGATAGACGATTCTATGAAGCTGCCGGCTGTCTGACTCAAGCGTCTCATCTGCTTTGTTTCTTTACAGTATGAAACATGTACCAGAATGTACCATTCCGGTCATAGAGTCATAGGATGTCATAGGCAAACATTTTGAGGGTCTGCAGACTTGAGCTGCTGACCTCCTTGCCTTTGAGTTCCTCCTTTTCTCGTTTTGATGCCGGCAGCTTCGATTCTTTGTCTGCAGCTTCAAGTTCCTCAGCTTCCTCATTGCAAGATATTGGCAAGATGTTGCAACTCACATGAATTACATGAATTCTCACACAGAACGCACACTGCTCAAACCTGCTCAAAGTGACAGCTTTTGAAATTTAGTGCCTCTTCAGTGTCTTCCGAGGTTTGCTTCTCCATGACTCGAAAATTGCGATCACATGAGCAAAACAAGGAGCAAGAGACTGTAAGTTTTCTGTGGGACTTTCAGAACCCTTTGAAGAAACATCTGTTGGAACATGTTAGAAAGTATCTTAAAGTATCTTAAAGTCATCTGCAAATATCTGCAACATGTGCCAAAGCAATGGCTGTGCTAGAAGGTCTCTTCATTCTTCTTCCATCAAGCTACTGTCATTGCTTGAATTCAGCTTTTTGAACCCAAAGACAGTGTGTTGCACAAAGACATGGTAAAGCAATGTAAAGCAGTTGCTTAACATGACCGCATCCTATTCATTTCTGGATCATGTTACACCCTGAAAGTCCACAACCCTGCACCGCTTTTCTCAACATTCAAAGTCAAGGATGCACTACGAAAGGCATTTGAGCAACTTTGAGCACAGCTTGGCTAGGTTGGCTAGGTCGGCAGTGAATCACGGTGTGAAAATTTGCATCACATCGGCAACTTTGGTCCGACCTTGTACCAGCCGTACCAGCTGCAAGTGTTCCAACTGGGGGTGGTAGGGTGATAGTCTGACATAGTATTCCATACATTTTCATACCCAGTATCTGGTACCAGTTTTCCGTGTCTCTCAGCATGGAACGTGGGTATTCTTCAAACATTCCAAATATACCTGGATCTTCAAACGCCTAATATATTTTGACCCTTTTGGTTGTTTACCATGGTCTTCAAGTACAACTTTGATCGATCTATACTGTACGTCCATCCACCTACCATCTGCTTAGACTTGAACCCCCGCAGCTTTAACGAATTGGCAATTCAGTATGGTAGAGAAAACTGAAGTGTCACAAGTTGAGGTCCGAATGTTTTCAACTGAAAAGTGGGCTGCTGACTTTACCTGCATGGTCTGCATGGTAATACAAGCTGACTGAAGTTGGGATATGGCAAAGCTAGGCTCAAAGCCAGTACAGAAACATCCCACAGCCCACCCGGCACAACTTGCTGCGAGCGACATATTGGACATTCCACAAGGTCTCCCAGGCCGCAAAACCTCAAGATCCACAAAGTTACCCCTTCCATTGCAGCGTTGCAGTTCCCTATCGGCTGCATTTCGCTGGGCCACTGGGGCTGTGGCGAACAAATGGCGAGATGTTTACAGGGCATGACCACGAGGTTCGCTAAGTTCTCCATGCAAATGACGCACACCTGGCGAAGGCGAGTTTCCCGGGGTTCCCCATGGGAAACCCTGGGACCCTCGACGTCGACATCACATGTGATGATGTCATTCATGATATTTCATGATCATGATGATGTCATGATCATGATGTAATATGATTGTAATATGATGTAATACTTGGTGAAGCTAAGCGTCGAACCTGCGAGACAACAGCCTGGCCCAATTCGCACAAGACCATACACCGAATGATGACATGGCATGACATGACGAATGTCTTTTCAAGAAGTGCTTTCATTACCATCGTCAGCAGGATCCTGTGAATTGACGCAAACCCATCTGAAGTTTGAGACAAGAGCACGCTTCGCCGCTTCACTTTGTGCCCGAATATGGCTTGGGGTAGCAGTTTTCAGAACTAACTCATTGTCATTAATTGTCGTTTACAAGACATTTTACAGAAATTTACAGAATCTGTTTAAGTCAATCTCTCTACGCATCTCATGCTCTTTGCTCATGTTTTCACCAGTTCAAAAAGGGCCTCGGGATGTGTTTCGACCTCTTCAAGGCGTCTGGACAACTCCTTAGTACCAGCTACCAATGTTCCCAACGTTCAGATCTCAGATTAAGCAAATATTGCAATATATTACTTATAAATATTACATTGATATTCCCAAATCATACCCAAATGATAGCCATTAATCCCAGGCGTTGGTCACCGGTGGTCATTGTCAAATTGTCACAGTTAGGGATCTTCGACAGTTCTTAGATACCAGCCATGTTTTCTTGGTTCAAGGCGTCCTAGAGCGAAATGACATACATGTCAGCTGTCAACTGCTGTCAACTGCTGTCAACTGCTGTCAACTGCTGTCAACTGCTGTGAACTGCACAACTGCAGCAGTCACAAGGCACCACTTTTGTGAAATTACCATCTCTTGGCCATGGCCGCAGTGCGACAATCACATTGCCACATGATGTTCCGACTTTGGCCGAACATGTGAAGACATGTGAAGACTATATCAGCAGAACTTGCTACACATCAGACTAACTCTTCTGACCGGTCCTAGCAAACCACAAGGCAAACCACACAGTACCATATACGTATGTCGAATTGCCACACATGCAAGTTCGTGCGATAAAAAGCTTGAAGTCAGTCGGGTAGATCGTGTTTCAAGTGCTGCCGAGATGGGGAGATCCGCTCCTGAAAAAGTCTGTACAACATTGACATGGGCAATCTCTGGCATGATCTGTGGTCGAAGCCAGTTCTTAAAAAATGCACGGAAAGGAACTAGTGACAGCCAGTGGTCATGGACGCACAGAGCAGCTGTGATGGTAACAATCGAGGTACTGCATGGTACTGCCAGATCGACGCATAAGCGCACATCGCACAAACAGTGCGTCAGAGGCACAAGATCACGCAGCACAATCATGCACAAGTTGCGAAAGAAACAGCTGAAAACAACTCATTCACCAAGGTCATCACTGAGTCATCACTAGTCGTTTGTGCTACGCTACTATACAGCCTCCAGATTGACCCCATCGCAGCCCTTTCCGGTACAGGGACGCCCGCCCCTGGGGATTCAGACTCGCACAGAACCAAAAACGTCAAAACCGTCAAAACATCAAAGCAGTGCCTGAATTTCATCCACCATCTGATCCGCTGATCCCAAGATATCCCAAGATATCCCAAGATATCCCAAGCAATTCCAAGCATTTCAAGCTCGCGCAGGCTCAGTCTAAATCTTGGCAGATCCTGGCAGTCACACGCTGTGACAGACATGCATATGGCATATGGTTATGTATCATGACATATCATGACATATTATGCATAAAATGTCAATATGTCAATTGCATACGTTCATAGATCACACAAGATGAGGCAAATTGGAATGTATTGGAATCTGACAGAACATTCTTCCTGAATCTGGATACTGTCTCCCAACTGTGCAGCAAAGATCATCAAAGCTCTCTCGCTCTCCGTGACGGAGTCTAGAAAAACAGTCTGACACAAGCTATTCAGCAGCTATTCAGTCGCATTGATCCCCTGCAGAATGATCTCTCTGAGTCAAAGACAGTAGGCTGGCCCCGGTCTCAGAGATCATGTTCTTCTTCATAGCCGCAGTACTGAATTGCTTTCAATGTCTTGTCCTGCGCTTACAGGAACGAATGATAACGAATGCGTAACCTGGCTGATCTGTCTCACAAACTTCCAGTGAATCATTTGAGGTACGGCTGGATGCTACCACTTTTGCAACGAGGACACTTGTGGGCTAAAAAGGAACTTCAGGCTCTCTGATGCAACAATCACACAACAATTGCATCAGTTCTATCGATTCGTGTACATGTAAGAAGACTGCACAAGCTCTTCGACTCTCTTCTGCTTATACCATCCATGCATATTCAACATCCATGCATGAAGCTGCTCCTTGTCCTTGGTCAAACTTCTTCTCCTTTCGGAGAGCCCTTTCCATGTAGAATCTTCGACTCTGATTCTTTCGCACTTGTTCTGGAGTGCAAAAATGGCAGTAGCGACACTCATCGCCATACCAGCACCCCGTTCCTTTGTTGTTGTAGACACAAGGTTCACATCTGCCCTGCTTGTGAAGCTCCCGCTTTACAAAGCCCGGCAAAGGCATCTTTTCCACCGAAGGTGCACTAGTTGGCTGCATCTTCCCTGAGTTGTCTGAGTTCTCTGTCGCAGTGTCAATCTCCGAGTCATGGCCACAACGCTTTCTGTGGAATGCCAAAGACATCAAAACCCGCGACATCTGAGGGCTGGCCATTGCGAATCCCACTCGCAACCACTTAAGACCTCTAAATTCGTAGAGGTCGGAGGCTTAGAGGCAGCCACTACTTCGGAATCTTCGTACCCTTGACGTAAAATCACATCAAGCCAAAAAAAAAATGGGTGGTCTTTGCTGCACACATGCAGAAATTCACGGGCTTACAATGTGCAATCCGTATTGTAAAAGTCAAGGACACCACGTCAAAGGCTTTGAACATCTTTGAACAAATGGCAGAAAAAAAAGAAGAGACATCACCAATCAGCGAAATCAAAACAAATAAAAGTGACCAAAACAAGGCACATCACACAAATTGATCCAAAACGAACCAAAGAAAAGTGCTCTGCATTCTGTGCCTCATGTGCCTCACTATCATTTCCAGATAGTTCCAGACCCACTGGTTCTCAGTTCCAATGCTGCCTCTAAACAATTGTCACACGATGTCACATGACATCTTCTGCCGCAAACATCCGCAAACAGCTTCCAACCAATCGTAGCACGCGGCGCCTCTTTTTCTCGTGCATCACACGGTGCTTCTTGGTACTTTTCATAGGAGCAGAACTTGAAAGTAAATGTGATTAAAGGATTCTGCTGAGGGTCTATGAACACATGTCCCTTTGTCATGGAGACATCAATGTGTCTTGCTGCAGCACTGCAATTGGATAAACAAACACATGCTCCATCAACGACCTTTCACAATCAAAAGGGTAAAGCCAACCAGAAACTGGCACTGCGTTAATGTGCCTGCAATTATTTTGGAAGACCATGCTGCTCAAGTGTTGCAAACAAACACAAGACAAGACTCCTGTTGGCGGCTTCAACGTCTTGGTTTTCCAGCAATTGTGAGACATCTTCAACTTGATCATATCAGATCCTATTTCATCCTATTTCCAAGATGTTTCACAATGTTTCACCATCTTTTTCGCGGGACACGGTTGTTTGAAGCCAGTTTGGTAGAGCGTGAAACGGAGCGAGAAGGCTCCCTCGCTGCTGCGGGTTTCTGTTGTCAAAACTCGCCATCAAATCCGGGCAGAGCGAGGCATTGCATCATGAGTTTACCGCATTTCCTCAAAAACGATTTGAACATATTCAAACACTGCGAAGACAACCGTATAGACATACCATAAACATCCATAGACTCCATGCTTGCGACAGCTTCTAATACCTAGAAAATCCTAGAAATATCAACTGCATCAAGTTGGTACAACAATGTCGATCATGTTGTTTGTCTGCCTCATCCAAATAGTTTCATTGGTCTTGGGACACCCGCCCCAAATGACAAACTTGGGATCGAGTCACATTGATCCCAAGATATCCCAAGCAATTCCAAGCATTTCAAGCTCGCGCAGGCTCAGTCTAAATCTTGGCAGATCCTGGCAGTCACACGCTGTGACAGACATGCATATGGCATATGGTTATGTATCATGACATATCATGACATATTATGCATAAAATGTCAATTGCATACGTTCATAGATCACACAAGATGAAGCAAATTGGAATGTATTGGAATCTGACAGAACATTCTTCCTGAATCTGGATACTGTCTCCCAACTGTGCAGCAAAGATCATCAAAGCTCTCTCGCTCTCCGTGACGGAGTCTAGAAAAACAGTCTGACACAAGCTATTCAGCAGCTATTCAGTCGCATTGATCCCCTGCAGAATGATCTCTCTGAGTCAAAAACAGTAGGCTGGCCATGGTCTCAGAGATCATGTTCTTCTTCATAGCCGCAGTACTGAATTGCTTTCAATGTCTTGTCCTGCGCTTACAGGAACGAATGATAACGAATGCGTAACCTGGCTGATCTGTCTCACAAACTTCCAGTGAATCATTTGAGGTACGGCTGGATGCTACCACTTTTGCAACGAGGACATTTGTGGGCTAAAAAGGAACTTCAGGCTCTCTGATGCAACAATCACACAACAATTAACAATTGCATCAGTTCTATCGATTCGTATACATGTAAGAAGACTGCACAAGCTCTTCGACTCTCTTCTGCTCATACCATGCATATTCAATATCCATGCATAAAGCTGCTCCTTGTCCTTGGTCAAACTTCTTCTCCTTTCGGAGAGCCCTTTCCATGTAGAATCTTCGACTCTGATTCTTTCGCACTTGTTCTGGAGTGCAAAAATGGCAGTAGCGACACTCATCGCCATACCAGCACCCCGTTCCTTTGTTGTTGTAGACACAAGGTTCACATCTGCCCTGCTTGTGAAGCTCCCGCTTTACAAAGCCCGGCAAAGGCATCTTTTCCACCGAAGGTGCACTAGTTGGCTGCATCTTCCCTGAGTTGTCTGAGTTCTCTGTCGCAGTGTCAATCTCTGAGTCATGGCCACAACGCTTTCTGTGGAATGCCAAAGACATCAAAACCCGCGACATCTGAGGGCTGGCCATTGCGAATCCCACTCGCAACCACTTCAAGACCTCTAAATTCGTAGAGGTCGGAGGCTTAGAGGCAGCCACTACTTCGGAATCTTCGGACCCTTGACGTAAAATCACATCAAGCCAAAAAAGAATGGGTGGTCTTTGCTGCACACATGCAGAAATTTACGGGCTTACAATGTGCAATCCGTATTGTAAAAGTCAAGGACACCACGTCAAAGGCTTTGAACATCTTTGAACAAATGGCAGAAAAAAAAGAAGAGACATCACCAATCAGCGAAATCAAAACAAATAAAAGTGACCAAAACAAGGCACATCACACAAATTGATCCAAAACGAACCAAAGAAAAGTGCTCTGCATTCTGTGCCTCATGTGCCTCACTATCATTTCCAGATATTTCCAGACCCACTGGTTCTCAGTTTCCAATGCTGCCTCTAAACAATTGTCACACGATGTCACATGACATCTTCTGCCGCAAACATCCGCAAACAGCTAGCACGCGGCGCCTCTTTTGCTCGTGGATTACACAGCACTTCTTGGTACTTTTCATAGGAGCAGAACTTGAAAGTAAATGTGACAGAGGATTCTGCTGAGGGTCTATGAACACATGTCCCTTTGTCATGGAGACATCAATGTGTCTTCTGTACATCAATGTATTTTGGCATCTTTTGGGCATGCCTGAAGCCAGCTTTATCCCATTCCAGAGTGTGAAGCCAAATGGATCCAAATGGCTCCATTGCCATGGTCATGCACCGGCAGATTTTGTTTGGAAAATGGCACCGCCAAATCCATGCGTCGAACACGACGCAGGTGAAACTATGTGAAACTGAGCATGGCACACGTCAGGCTTGCATAATCTCACACACATCACATCAAACATAATAATTCATTACATCATACATCTTTCCCCACTTGAAACACTTGACAAACACACATCACATTGAAGTCATGAAACAAAAGTTTGCCTGCCGCGTTTTGACCTCCCAGATCGATTCATCCAGGCCCTTTAACTGATTTGAAGTGGCGCCTGCCTCCCAATGGCAACTTTGGGATCAAGTAACAGTTTCTATACCATTTTGGACCAGAAAACAACTGCGAGCATACCCATTGATCCCAAATAGCTCAAATTAATCCCAAGATATCCCAAGCAATCGTACCAAGATCATGATCATGGTTCGGTGCAAATCCTTGGCAGTCACACACTGTGACATGCCACACACACTTCAGACCTGCAAAGCAGGACAGCATCTGACAACACATTTGTCGCGCATAGTTTGCAAGCGTCCTTTACACTGAGCATCAAAGTCTAGTCCACAAAAAACCTTGTGCACACTTGCAGCAATGGATAAGAATATCTATAAGAATTATGGTTCTGAGTTCTGAGTCGAAAACGAAGGTTGGGATGCAGTCTCGGAGATCACATCTATAGGAATTTCATAGCCACACTTTGAAGTTGCTTTGAATGCCTGGTCCTGCGCGCACAGGAAAATCAACCAGTGACTGAACTTGACTGCACTGAAATTAATGACCTAGTTATACAATGTTATACATAGTTTTTCAGGCTGTCTCTGATGCATCTCGGAAATTGATCCATGGAATATATGGAATTCATGACAAATATATGTACATGGATGAAGACCACACAACCTCCAAGAACAAATTGAGAGCTGTGAAGAGTTAGGTCCAGTTAGGTTGCATGTTTGGCTATTTGATCATGAGGCGTCATGCATTTTTAGATAAAGAACCATTGCTGATTCAGAATCCAACATTGCAAACCATGTGAAAACACATTGAAGGTGCTCCTTGTGCTTGGTTAAGTTTCTTTTCCTTTCGGAGAGCCCTTTCCTGGTAGAATCTTCGGCTCTGCTTCCTTCGTACTTGTTCTTGAGTGCACAAATGGCAGTAGCGACACTCATCGCCATACCAGCACCCCGCGTTGTACTTGAAGAGGCACGGTTCACATCTGCCCTGTTCGTGAAGCTCCCGCTTTACAAAGCCCGGCAAAGGAAGCTTTTCTGCTTGGGGACCACGAGAAATTGGCTGCTGCGTCTTTCCCGAGTTGTCTGACTTTTCTGTCAGGGTGTCCATTGCAGAGTCTTTTGCGGGAGACTTTGCCTGAAACGCCGACATCAAATAAGGCGACATCTGGATGGCCATTGCGATCCCCAGAACTACCCTGAAGACCCTTCCAGCCGTTCCAGCCGTTCCAAGCTGCACATCAAAAGCAGCGGAAAGCACAAACGCTGCAGCTTCGCACGATGCTCAAAGTGTCTCAAGTTGCAGAGAGAAATCCGTGTTTCTGCAAGGTGCGCGAAGCCTAAGAGCGTTGATCACAAGGTGATCTCAGTTTGTGAAAACGTGTTGTCTCCAATGGACAATTTGTTGATGTGATCAAAGTTCAATTTGTTGATGTCAATGTGATGCTGTCCTTCAGGAGGGAAATCGCACTCAACTGCTGATGCAGACTGCTGATCTCCAGACCACCGCCACCAGCCCTGACACTCCAGAAAACTGAACAGCTCTGCTACAATGTTGATATGTTGATATCAGTAAAAATACATTATAATATGTATATAGTACATGTTATCATATTATGTTGTATTGCAACATTGTATGAAATGATCACTATATTATACTATATTACATTGTGTTATATTGTATTATATTATTATACGTACTATATATCATATTGCATTGTATTGTGTTTTATTGGATTATTTCATATATTTACTATTGATGACTCTTGCAAACCGACTGGAACTAGGAAAAATGACACGTTGCATACTGATGATTTTTCTGGAGTCAGGAAACAGGTGAAGCATATCCAGGTGGAGTCCCTGCATGTCCCTCGCTCTGAACAAACTGCGAGATTTTAGAGATTTGAGATCCGGACTGATCCCGTAAAGCCTGTTCATAGAGGAGTTTATACCTCAAACTCCGCGAGTTTAGCGTTCCGTTTTCAGGTTTGGCGTTGATCAGCTTGATCAGGTCAAGTCTCCGTTTTCAGGTGGAAATGTCATGGAAATTGGGCACCATTTCTGGGCTCTTGGGGAATTGGTTCATTGGCTCACCATTTTCGGCACCTGGGCATCCCAGCTGCTGCTTGCGTTGTTCCAAGGCATCGCAGCGCAGTTCGAGTTCCTGCAGCGCAGAGACAGTCTCGGGAACTCTTGGTTTTTTGACCAAAAATGGACGAATATCCCGAATATTCATCAAACATCCAATGGATCAGATATCACAAATAATCATCATCAAACATCAAACATCAGATAGGATCAGATAGGATCAGATATGATGATGATGATGATGATGATGATTATATTGATGAGATATGGGCTCTTGGGGTTCCACTGGCGAGAGATCATGGTTACAATATCAAGAAACCAAAGAGATGTAAGAAATAATTATGGTTAATGCAAATTAACCGCACTTCATTATTAGTATGCTTTCTTGATGATGGCTTTAACATCTTTAACATTTCATAGTCAGTGATGATTTCCCGAAGAAATCGCCCAGCTCAGGCTGCCCGTCCCGACACGTTTAAAACCAGCGTCCTGAACTTTCTCCTCTAAACGACGCTTTGCAAAGCGAAGGTGCTCAACGTTCTTCCGAAGGTAGATCACCTGAGAAACGGATCCGGATCCGACGGATGACCCTCTTGGGTCATCATGGTGTGAAACCCAGAGATGATCCAATTTCCTATGAACAATTATCGTTAATCATCATATTCTTACCATATATTATATATATTATATTCCATATACATATCCAATATAAATATATATATATCCCATATATGCAATATAGTTATAATATAATGCAATATATATATATATGCAATGGACAGCCACAGGAACATTAAACAAGAGTGAAATAAACGAGATGAACAAGATAAACCTCTGTGAATCTCATTGACACTGCCAAACTGGTGTGAAATGGCCTCTGCATCATCCGACCTTGGATTTGTCATGGAGTCATCACCGTTCAACGACTTCTGTAGACATCTTGGTGAACCTCTTGACAACGTGATCTGATATGATTCATGATGATTCATGATGATTCATGATTTATGAAATTTTATGATTTTGACAAATTTTGACGTAGTTTGATATTCTGCTTCCAAGTTGCCTTGTTTGAGAAATTGGAGCAGAACTCTTTGGCGCCGCCCTGCAACAACATCACGTGGATGAAACCCTTTCCGTCGTTGTGATCGCACCATCATTGCTCGTTAGATTTCAAGCAACGCACTATTTAGATCTATTTAGCACACAGAGATTAGTTATCACACCATGACTTACACGATCTTACATGACCTGAAAACAGAATGTCTCGGAGAAATACATATACAAAAACATATAGAAAAACATACTGAACGGTTGTTTTTCATGTTTGTTAACTCATGTTGTATAGAACAGTGTTGTTAACACATGTGTTACGTTCACATGGCTTTCTGGGACGCACCTCATGGGGCTGGGCGCCTCACAGTATCGGTCGACTCGTCGACTGATAGCAGTGATAGCAGTGATAGCAGCACTTCCACGATGTTGATCAGTGTTGATAGGTGTTGATATCAATCAGAATCTATCACTTATCTATCACTTATGTATCAGAATTTATCACTTATCTATCACTTATCTATCCGAATCAATCACTTATCTATCACTTATCTACCACAATTTTTCACTTATCTATCACGTATGTATCAGAATCTATCACTTATCTATCACTTATCTATCAGAATCTATCACTTATCTATCACATCAGAATCTATCACTTATCTATCACTTATCTACCAGAATCTATCACTTATCTATCACTTATGTATCAGAATCTATCACTTATCTATCACTTATCTATCCGAATCTATCACTTATCTATCACTTATCTATCACTTATGTATCAGAATCTATCACTTATCTATCACGTTTCTATCCGAATCTATCACTTATCTATCACTTATCTATCACTTATCTATCACTTATCTATCACTTATCTATCACTTATCTACCAGAATCTATCACTTATCTATCACTTATGTATCAGAATCTATCACTTATCTACCAGAATCTATCACTTATCTATCCGAATCTATCACTTATCTATCACTTATCTATCACTTATCTATCACTTATCTATCACTTATCTATCACTTATCTACCAGAATCTATCACTCATCTATCACTTATGTATCAGAATCTATCACTTATCTATCACTTATCTATCCGAATCTATCACTTATCTATCACTTATCTATCAGAATCTATCACTTATCTATCAAAACCTATCACTTATGTATCAGAATCTATCACTTATCTATCAGAATCTATCACTTATCTATATCACTTATCTGTCAGAATCTATCACTTATCTATCAAAACCTATCATTTATCTATCAGAATCTATCACTTATCTATCAGAATCTATCACTTCTCTATCACTTATGTATCAGAAACTATCGCTTATCTATCACTTATGTATCAGAATCGATCATTTATGTATCAGAATCTATCACTTATCTATCACTTATCTGTCACTTATGTATCAGAATCTATCACTTATGTATCAGAAGCTATCACTTATGTATCACTTATCTATCCAAAATCCATCACTTATATATCACTTGTCTGTCCGAATCTATCACTTATCTACCACTTATCTATCAGAATCTATCACTTATGTATCAGAATCTATCACTTATGTATCACTTATCTATCCAGAATCTATCACTTATGTATCACTTATGTATCAGATTCTATCACTTATGTATCACTCACCTATCAGAATCTATCACTTATCTATCAGCTATCTATCCTAATCTATCACTTATGTATCAGAATCTATCACTTATGTATCAGAATCTATCACTTATGTATCAGAATCTATCACTTATCTGTCACTTATCTATCCGAATCTATCACTTATCCATCACTGATCTTTCAGAATCTATCACTTATCTATAACTTATCGATCACTTATCTATCACTTATCTATCAGAAATCAAAATCTATCACTTATCTATCAGGATTTATCACTTATCTATCACTTATCTATCAGAATCCATCACTTATGTATCAGCATCTATCACTTATCTATCACGTTTCTATCCGAATCTATCACTTATCTATCACTTATCTATCACTTATCTATCACTTATCTATCACTTATCTATCACTTATCTATCACTTATCTATCAGAATCTATCACTTATCAATCACTTGTCTATCAGAATCTATCTCTTATCTATATCACTTATCTATCAGAATCTATCGCTTATCTATCAAAAATTATCACTTATCTATCAGAATCTATCACTTATCTATCAGAATCTATCACTTATCTATCACTTATCTACCAGAATCTATCACTCATCTATCACTTATGTATCAGAATCTATCACTTATCTATCACTTATCTATCACATTTCTATCAGAATCTATCCCTTATCTATCAGAATCTATCACTCATCTACCACGTATCATCTATCAGAATGTATAAGTTATCTACCACTTATCTATCACTTATCTATCAGAATCTATCCCTTATCTATCAGAATCTATCACTTATCTATCACTTATCTATCAGAATCTATCACTTATCTATCACATCAGAATCTATCACTTATCTATCACTTATCTACCAGAATCTATCAATTATCTATCACTTATGTATCAGAATCTATCACTTATCTATCACTTATCTATCCGAATCTATCACTTATCTATCATTTATCTATCAGAATCGATCACTCATCTATCACTTACCTATCACTTATCTATCATTTATCTATCACTTATCTATCACTTATCTATCACTTTTCTATCACTTATCTATCAGAATCTACCACTTATCTACCACTTATCTATCAGAATCTATCACTTATCTATCGCTTATTTACCAGTACGTATCACTTATCTATCACTGATTTATCAGAATCCATCAGTTATCTATCACTGATGTATCAGAATCTACCACTTATCTACCAGAATCTATCACTTATCTATCACTTATCTATGAGAAATCAAAATCTATCACTTATCTATCAGAATCTATCACTTATCTATCTCTTATTTATCAGAATCTATCAGTTATATTCCACTTATCTATCAGAATCTATCACTTATCTATCAGAATCTGTCACTTATCTATCACTTATCTATCAGAATCTATCACTTATCTATCAAAATCTATCACT